GCTGGGACAAGCGTAGGATGCACAGCCTTCGGCGCCCTTGTCAGCCAAGTACTTGTAGCAAGCCGACGGCTTCTTGCCCTGGGTCCTCACGTAAGTAGAGAACTCCCCAGGGCTGGCACCACAGGCCGGGATGTTAATGCCGGCAAGCAGGGTGCAGGAGTTCTTCTTTGAGACAGAGAAGCCCTCGCAGTCGGAGTTGCTGTCACACTGCTTCGCACAACTGTCGGGAGAAGCGCTTGTGCGTGTGAGCTCCGAGGCTCCCTTGGAATCCTCGCAGTGTGCGTTTGCATAGGTTGTGTAACCAGAGATCGTCAGGGCGGGCGCTTCACTTTGAGCTTCCTCCGCCTTTCCCGTCTCGCACTGACTCTTGTAGTCAGGGCAGCAAGTGTTGCCCAGAAATGTCTTGTCACATCCAGGGAAACACTGGCATTCGTTCATGAGCGTCATGAAATCGAAACTCTTGGTGCAGCCGAAGGACTGACAGTTACCCTTCTTCTTCTTCAAAGCCCCTCCTTCCTTCGTCATCTTGCTAAGGGTCTTCTCATCGAAGCAGAAGTTCCAGTTCAGGTTGAAGGTGAGGTCGTCGCCTGCAGGCTTCTCCTGATCTGTCTTCCCGGTGCATCCGAAGTTCCAGTTGTAGTTGAACTTTGGTGCCGCTGCCGATCCCATGTCGTTTGCATGGGTGCTCCGGCTCTCCCGCCGCAGCTGCCGCAGGGACAGATCACAATCTTCCGAGTCGCAGGCATCGTCCAGCGCTAGAGCGCTCGTGGGCTCTGGAATCTCCTGCGCCAGACTCGAGCCTGAAAGGGCAAGCGCCGCCAATGCGAAACCGAACATGTCGGTCGAAACGCTTCTAGCAGGGACAAATGCAACTTGAGCCAGTGCCCAACAAGATCGCACCTGACGTCCACCAGCAACAACGTGACGCCTGTGCTTGCAAGTTGCGACACCACTGACTCAGCATGCGAATCAAGCTGCGAGCGCAAGTTGATGACTTTCGATGCATGCAACGCGCTTGCACGATCGCAGAAACTATCAGATGTCGCTGCCAGATTGCCCCTCTGGCACTAAATCTACTGCTATTCTTAAATGCATGGCGGCAGCCACTTCTGGGATGTATGCCATGCTAAATCAAAACCTAAGGTGCGGCATGAGCCTCTGCCAACCCAAACGGCAACACACAGCAGTCTACCACGCGATAGACAGCACAGAGCCTCCAGATGATGTCGTACATACATGACAGTGTTACTTTCCGCTGAGAATACATTGCCTACCATTGCATGACGTACTCTTCAAGGTCTTCCAGAAGGCGATCACACCGCAGATATCACTATCACTGGCTGGTGCTTGCAAGCCCTATCCGTAGACATCTTTCACAAATTCAGAATCATGTCCCAAAGTAGCTGCTGCCTGCAATCCTGGTGAAAGTCTTACCAATGTTGAAGTGAGCTAGTTTAGCATACTATCCGGCCAACAGTGTGCTCCTTCGATCTCAACTATGCACCTGCCAGGCTAATCATTTGGACTATAAGGCAGCGGAATGCTGCCCTCAGAGTGCAGCATAAGAAAACCAGCGTACAAGCTCGTTCCTCGGGCATTATCCGGAGATCAATCCGCCTGCAGCGGAAGAGAGCGACTCTGCAATGCCCATAAAGGCTTCCTGGAGCGTGATTCCATCGACGGACTCCATGTAGCTGCTCTTGCTAGCAAACTCGTCTTGGCCTGCATTTTGTTTCGCAGTATCCACAATCTGAGTGAGCACATACTTGCCCTGTGCATCTCCTGGAGGGAACTGGACGGTGTGTACACGGAGGGCCTGGGTTGAGGATCGACCTCCTACTTGAGCGAACAGCCGTCCGAGAGACGTGGCTGGAAAGTTGGCCCACCCGTCGGACAGCAGCACGATCATGCAGCGGTGCCCTGTCGGTGTTTGGGCCACATGCGGAATGATGGCTGAGATTGCAGTTTCAAAGCAGGTTTGATAATTGGGCTGAAGAGTGCGAAGCCAGGTATCATTGAGGTCCGAGATTGGCAATAAGAGCGGACCCTTCTGCACATGCGTGTTGAAGGCCAATAGCGAGACCCTGTCCTCCGCACTGCTGTGCAAACGTTTTTCCACGAAGCTCTGCACTGCTGCAATCGCGCAGCCGAGACGATTGGGATGTGACCGTCGCCAGGGCAAGGTTTGCGGCACTACATCCTGGTAAGCCATCGACCCGGAGCTGTCAATCAGGAAGATCGTATGGACAGGAACACTCTTCTTGTGTGAGCAGGAAAAGTGGTGGCCATCTGCCGAAACAATTCCACCATGCTGTGCCAAATGCCTCTCAGACTCGCCGCCTGAGAGAGGACTGTGCCACAGCGGCAAAGTGCAAAAGGACGGGTGCTCCCCATCCTTGGTGTGAGACTCGTGGGGGCAACAGTGATTGCACTTGCCGAAGATCTCTTGGTCCTCATTCGAGCAGGGATCCTTGAAAGCGATACTCTCCCAAAAGGCTGCATGTGTGAACTCATCCTTCGGAACTTCTGGATTTGGCTTGTATCGTCTCTGCGAATGTCTGCGACCAGGCATTGCGGAGATGCAGCAGGGTTGATTTTGCGAGTAGTCCGCACACAGCTTCACGTGCGTGTGGCCACCTCGGTGCTTACAGCATGATCTAGCAAACAGAACATTGTGAACCACTGCAAGAGCTGCCATTTACATTCGCCCGGCTTTTTGTTTGCGCAGAGGCAACTGGGGCTTCACTTAAAAATCTAGACCGCTAGAGAGTCTTTTCCTGGGCCTGAATGCAAAATAGCGTGCAAGACTCGGTGTAACACAGGATTAAGGCGATGCAACTGCCATCAAACCATCCCCCGAGTACTCTAGGCAAACGCACAAACATATCCATGACAACAGGATGTGCTCCGACAAACCACAGCCCATCCCGGGAAGATCCTGGTAGGACCAGTGACCAGTGGGTCTCTTTGACCCTATGAGGCGTGGAAACCGCTCAACACTCTCGGGCTACATGAATTCAGCTAAACTGAGCTTTGGACGGCCTGCCCGGTGGCAATACATATTGCACATCTCTGCAACGCCGGATTCAGATGGCGCATACTTGCGGGAACCCAGTTTGAAAACGTCCTGGTCCGAAACAAAATATGTCCTACGCATATTGCCGTGTCTGGTGTCATGTTCTCCAGAATGCTCCCAGGGCAGCGTGCAGTAGTAACCGCAAGTTGGACATTTCGCATCGCAATAGTGCACCAAGTTCTCGGTCGTAGAATGGATGTGACTCCCTTCGTGCTCTCGACTCTTGGCAGGAATGACTTTGCAACATGTCTTTCGAACGCCATTCTGCTCTGTTTCGATTGCATCGTAGTCGAACTCGTCATGCTTGCCAGTGAACTTCTCTTTCTTCATCACCAATTCGGAATAGATCTCGCATATTCCCGGTGCTTCACATTCATGCGGGCACTGATGCGGCTGATCGCACATGCAATCTGACTTCCCGTCTGCATGGAAATGGTCTTGTACCGAACACATGAAGGAGCACTTTGGGAACGAGCATTTGTTCGGGCATGCAATTATGTGACACTCGCATCTGTCATGCATCAAATCGTGTGGAAGAACACATGTGTGAGAACATCCAGCCAGCGAGCATGCCTTGCCACAATGATGTCGGGACGATCCACAGATGTGGGCTTCGTCGGGGGAGTGGCCGGGCTTCAGCACACATCGACCCCCGCAGTTTCCCCGTGAGCTCAGAGAGCACTCGTGCCCACAAGTGTGGGAAGCATCGCCGCAATCATGTTGTTCGCTGTGGCCGGCTACCAATGTGCAGACGCTCGCGTTGCCGGACTCCTGGCAATACTTGCAGAACGAGTGGCACCTGTGATCTGTACCACAGTCGTGGACACCTTCTGCATGATTAATCGGCAGCATGCATGGCAAACGGCATTCTGTGCAAGTCATTCTGCAGATGCGCAGTTGCTGCTGCAGCCTGACCAAGACACGGGCTGCTGGCAGGGGCAAATATGGGCAATCTAGTAGCCTTCGTCCAGCTAACTACATTTGACAAGGTTTGTGTCTTTGCAAAGAGCTCTTGTCGAGGAGCCGCCTGTTACTCCATAGCACAGCAGCCAGCATGCGGATTGACTTGGTGCACGGATATGCTTTGGCACACCCAAACTGTTTGACAAGCAGAACAGGTTAAGTTGCCTGTGCACCAAACCGAACACAAAACCTTCGGGCCTGGCGAGCATCGTTTTCGTCTGCATCATGAGGCGCTGCGCATCACCTTCCTGAGCAATGTGGTGTATGTTCGCCTCGAGCCACGCCACAATGCGCTTCTGACGCCTGTCTGACAGCGCATTCAAGACCTGCAGAAGCTCGTCTGCTGTCAGGACATTCGTAGCAATCTCCCGTACCTTCGCGATCAAATCAGCCATGAGTTCGCAAGGCACCTGCACCTCGTGGCAGCCATCCCGCTCGATCACTTTCGCCAGAAGAAGGCCTTCATCTGCCAAAGCAGACAGCACTTTACTAGCAGGTTCCTCCGTGCTGGTGTCGTGCGCATCTGTCACCAACGTAAAGGTTTTGTTGCTGCGAAGATGAAGAAGTGGGGTTGGTCCATCCTGCAAGCTGCACACAGATAAAAGTCAGGAAGATTTTCGAGGGCGCGAGACTTGCATGACTGTGGGGTGGCACTCCTCTGTCATGGCCATGCACCCAGCCATGACAGCAGCCGGCAAGCAGTCGCTGAGGCTGGCAAGCAGCATCTTTATCTTGTTCTGGTCCTCGCACTTCAACCGAGTTTAAGTTGCAAGGAACTCGCAGGGAAGCTTGCTTATGACATTCATATCTAGGAGCAGCTTGTACACAGGGGCCACGTTAGAGAACTGCCCTAGGATTTCCCAATCGCAAATGTATTGGTGGCCTTCAGTGAGCTCACAAGCTGAGGCCGCTGCGGTAGGCGTCCAGTCTTTCATCGCCATCTTTGCCATCAGAAGCTTGGTATTTCGCATGAACTGACGGCCAGTCTCAAAGCAACGGCCAGATTCCTGCAAAGAGGGATGCAGGCTCAACACAGTGACAAGTCAAAGCGCACCTTCGCAAAAATGCAGGTGCTCAGTTACTTTGCAGTGGAAGTGTGAACACCCTGAAGAAACAACCAACACACTCTTCCGATTTGCACGCAGCGAGTCTCCAGCGGCCTGCACGGCTTGCACCTTGCTGGTCAGTGAACTGAACTCGCGGTAGAATTCGGAACGACCCAGTGCCGGAAACGGTAATATGCCGACCTTACGTATACCAGCACGCGCAGGCAATTTGTGAATGTTTGCCAGCTGAGTGGTCACAAATGCTGGAGTAAGCCCACGGCACGGCCCTGATACAAGCGCAGAAAGAAATTGTCCTCTTTGTCTCTCGCGATGATGTGCTGGATTTTCTGCTTGAACTCCTGCGCCACTTCTTTAGCATCTGAGACCACATCCTTCACCACGATCTGGAACATTCCGTTGAAGAGCTCGTCATCTCCCTGAATCAACTTCGCACCCTGCTGCATGCGTGAGAAGATGTTTGCTGTGTCAGAGTCCAGACGGTTCTCAGTGCGGAAGAGGGAAACATGTGAAATCGCCGCATTGAAGACCTGAGAGGCGCTGCGGAGAAAGAACTACAAAAACACATAGCTGCGAGCGGCCTAAGGCATTGTCCATGTAACCATGTAGTACCTCTAATGTGTACATTCGCGTATTCAGACACGGCCGGCACCAGGCCTGCACTCAGAACTCACCTGAGGCCTGCACCGAAAGAAGCATGTCCTCCTGCGCAGATCGTTCGAAGGAGCCAAGACCCTCAAAGTCCAGCAAGACGTAGGTTACATCATCGAACTCCCGGACCATCATCCAAATTCCATCGGTGCCTTGGGTGGAGATCAAGATGCCATGGTCCACGATCGAACACCAAGCACCCGAACGTCTGAATCTTACATCTCCTTCCCCTGCAAAGCGCACGATGTCACGAGTGGGTTGGCAACAGCAACTAGGCTGAGGCTGGTGCAGCGGCCTCCCGAAGTGTCAAAGCATGTACCTCAGAGGGTCCAAGCTGGGTTCAGGGCTTTTGAGTGCAGACGGCTGTTGGTCTCCGGGTAGGCTTAAGCTGACCGTGTGCTTCAGCTTCGAGAGGAGTTTTAGAGTCTTCAGACAGTTGGCCTGCCAGGTGGTTCAGCATGTAGGATTTTCCAGTCGACTGCTTGCCCATACTGGATATGACAACGACAGGGTTCTCGTTCGTCTCCAGGATGAGCTCATAGAGGCCGAAGGAGATGAAACCAGAGAGTTCGCTTAAGTGGGTGAAGTCCGCAACATCCTCGCGCAGGCCATCCTTCAAGATCACGAAGGACTCGTTCTCCGCACGAGCAATTTGAAGTGGCACCATGCAGATCAACTTCCGAAGAAACCTGGCAACGTCTTACAAACGACGCATGCTTGTAGAGGCAAGCATTGAGGCAGCTGATGTCACTGGCGACTCGTACATTTCACAGGTCTTGAGGCCTAAGTCCTCTGTTCACGCGATCTGCTGTCTCTAATAAGCTTCTTGCCTGCCCCCAAAAAACAATTTTGCGGGCGAAGGCGCTGAGAGAATGTGCTTTGCGTCGTACTGTGCCAGGCTCCAATGTCACAGAAGGCCGGGTCTACACTGGCGAGGGGAGTATAGGATACTTCCTTATCTCGACAGCAACGAAGTGCATAAAACCTATTTATCAAGTTTCGCGCAAACAAGGCCGAGCTTCCAGTTTCAAGTCTTCGAGGGAGGGCTTCTGCGTGTCTTGCCTCAACTTCTGGATGAGGTCATGGATATACTGCCGCAGATCGTTTGCGATTTGGTTGTTCTCGTCGGCACATGCTGGACCAAGGACGGTCAGCTGGGTTGTCCGGGACAGCTTTGCCGTGGGGCTGGAAGCCAACGCAGGCTGCATTGTGAACTTCGAAAGAACCTGGTAAAGAATGTCAAAGCAGGAGGTACTGCCACTATCAGGCTTCGCGGCCGCGGACTCCAGAGATGCACCCGTTTGCTCCATGGAACAGACCTGCTCAGCGGTCTGCAACTTCAGGCGCCACCCTCTGACAGCACGCGCAGCAGGATCAGCCAGCACAAGGAAGTCCACTCCGTATAAGCGCAGCACATCTACCAAAGGCGCACCTTCATCAGCCCCATGTTGTTGAAATGCGTCTGGCAAAGGAAGCGTCTTGATGTGGCGACCATCTGCAGACAGGAACACTTCCACAACCCAACCTGGGAGCATGGCATCATCTAACGGGTCCTCTCGGCGAAGAGCCAACAAAGCCATGCCAGTGGAGTCAACCATCGTCTTTGCATGTTGAGTAATGCTGAATCCCCTTGGGCGCATGGACTTGGCGACAAGCTCGTACACCCTGACGACATTATCATGGAAAACGAAGCAAAGTTGCTTGGCCTCCAATAAGAAATGCATCTGAACCAGCACTGCGCTCTCTTTGTAAGTTTCCAGGTGGATGGGGGCACAAAACTCGGAATGCCACGAAAAGTGTTCGTCCCAAGTGTAAACTGCAACAGTTTTGGACTCAGCCGAGTAAAGTGCCAGCATTCGCAAAGTCTCATTGAAAGCAACTGCGTTGATGGTCCGCTTGATGTGCATCAGCTCTTTGCCTTGCTGCTGCCGAGGGTGGCAATACACCTTAATGCTTTTATCCTTCTGGTAAACTACAGAGAAGACACGATCCTGTCCCACGCTTCCAAGCAAGTTCACACAAGCGGGGTCGTGCGCATTGAGTTGCAAGTTCTTCGTCATGGGCTCAAGCTCCAGCTGGAAATGGCTGTCTGATGAAAGCCCTTGCTCGAAGCATTGCTTCTCCACCTTGAACTGCTGGATGCTGCAGTACAGCTTCGGAGCTCCTTCAACTTCAATGGTTGCTCCAATCTCAAAGTTGCTGTAATATCGCGGTTTCAAACTCCGAAGAAGGCAGCGCTTCGGATTCGCAGGGGCGAGATTCTGTACTTCACGCTCGCAGATGCCTCTCCATTCATCAGAAAGCTGGTTGAACTTCGATTCTCTGTCGGACTCGAGCTCTTTGAACTTTCTGTCCAAGCTGCTCTGTGTGCCTTTTGCAAACAGCAAATCTGCAAAATCCTGCAGTCGTTTGTCCAAGCAGCTTTGCAACTCCTCTCTGCACAAGCCGAGCGTCTCGTAGTATGCTGGCTGCTGGAGAACGCCACTGTCAGCTTTGTTCTTGATCATCTTCGTCACCTCCTCTTTGCTGAATCCCTTGGACCAGCCGAGGCGGGCGAGTCCACGTTGGAAGAGTGAAGCTTCGCCATCAGGCACCAATTTGCTGTACCACTCATTGAAGGAGTTTTTCTCATTCTTCACGGCATCGACGCACATCTCTTTCGCAACATCTGCCACATCCATACTCGAGTGTAGCCACTTTTGTGAATTCGCAACGGTGGCAAAGCTGTACATGACCCGCATCTGGTGGAAAACGGCCTTTGCCTGCTTGATCAAGCCACTTAGGGTTGCGACACTGGCCCGCTTCGTGGCAGTGTACGCATCTCCCCACGACTTGTTGAAGGGATCTTCCTTTCTCATCCACAACTGGACTTCTCCATCGTCTCGTGTTTCCTTTATCCGCATGGTCAGGACATGTCTGCCGAGATGGTTGACAAGGTTGGCATACCAGAACTCCAATCCAAGCCCAGTTCCCTTCCGAAGTTCACCCTGGACTTGTCTTGATTCGACCATGGTTTTGAGGACCAGCGTGCCCGATTCCTTGCTCACAATGTTGAAGGACAAAGTCCTGGCAATGACAGCTCTGTGTATCCAGAGCAAGACATGCACTCGACCATAGTTCAGCGGACTTCGAATGACTTATCGGCATCTGTCAAGCTCGACTGGGGCATGGGGCTGGTGCCTACTGTTACCTGGGAATTGGAGTTGCTCGGCACGAACCCTAACTTCCTGCCACAGCCATTGATCCTCTTGTAATTCCACTGGCCAACGAACTTCGATGTTGGATTGCTGGTGAGCTCTCCGGGGAACTTCTCAGTCAACTTGCTGACAGCGCTCGAGTCTACCAACCCCTGCCGAGGCTTGGTTTTGATGCCAGAGCTGCTGCGATCAAACAACATATCTTTTCATGTGAACACTCCCCAGAACCTGCATGGCATCGGCGACATCGCCGACCACATCTTGCCTGAGGCAGTTCAAGCTAGGGTTGCCCTTCCATGCGCTTTCCCTGGTCAACATTGAACGAACAACAGTCTGAAAGTCAAACCGACCGTCGCCTGCACATCGGACCTCGGCTGGGCAAGGCGAAAGCGTGATGGGGAAACAGTTTTAACCTGCTTAGTTGTGCTAGATACGTAGTGTATGCATCAGCATCTGACGTTAATTGTGCTTGTGTATATGTGTGGTCTGCAAGATGACAGACATGCTACAACTCCGCAGCAGGTAGCCCAGGGACACTTCGTCTCTGATGAAAGGCAGTCTCGAAGGCAATCGCGGTGGAAGACGTGTGCCGGGTTGCACGGCAGGCTGACGCTGGATGAATCTAGCCTTTGTTCAAAAATCTCAGCCAATGCGAGATGTGCTCCAACGCGAAATGCATCACTGTACCACACTTTGCTACAGTTTATGCGAAAACGGCACGGTCATGAACAATGAACAGCTTTTATCAGCCTACTGGGCGCAGTTGCTAACCAGCGGCTGAGCAAGGCAAATGCTGCATTCCAGACCAGATCCTCTCAACGCAAAGAACTCGAGTGGGAATTCCTCCAAGACCTCCTTGTTCATAGTCTCCTTCAGCATCCGGAACAGCTCAGCTCTTTCGGTCCGAGCGGTCTCTGACACGGCTTGAAAGCGCTCGTGGAACTTGATCGCCATCTCTTGCTGCTTTTGCTCGTAAGCATCTTTTACCTTGCGGTATGCCTCGGGCGCCACACACTCCAGGAAATGCTCGCAGTGTTCCAGTTTGAGAGATGGAGCAAACTGCACCATATAAGTCTCCTTGATGTCGCGGAAGAAGTTCGTGATTGTGTCATTTCGGATCAAAGTTTCATCGTGTCGCCCCGCGGCTCGTACCCAAAGCGTACCCAAAGTTGAACGACTCTTTCCACTGAATGTGCGGACAGCTTCGGCTCCAAGACTGTGTGGGAAAGGAGCAACAAAGCTGGCGCCCAACGTGCAGTCGTCATCACTGGCAGCCTTCATGCTAATCTGGATGTCCATGTTCCTTCCGATTGATGCTGGCCGAGAAAATCAGGGTTTTTCACCCCAGACTAGGTACCTTAATCGGGGACGGCGATTTTGCTAGTCACGGGTCGCTGTCAAGGCCTACGTTACGCTCCGCTCCTGGATGTTCCAGATGCTTGCACGGTCTGGCCACGAGCCTGCACAGCATCCAAGTCCTTCTGACCGACGAGCCAGCAAATGTCCGGAGTGAGCTGCAGCAGGAACTGCACAAAACTGATGAATGGCCGTCGCAATGCCTGGTCCCATCCGCACTGGCCCGGCCACAAGATTAACAGCAAGCCCTGCTGATGGTGCAGAGCATACAGGCCAATCGATGTAGTGAGTGAAGCTACGGCTTGTGGAGGCACAGCGCAACTCTCGAGAAACTCTTTGATGCCCTGTGGCTCTCCGAGCACTCCAAGCACGTGCATCTGTTTCTTGTCAAGTTTCTCGAAGTTCAGCCGAAGTTTGGGAACTGTGCATGCGCTGTTGGGCTCTATCATGTTGCAAAGGTTAATGACCTCGTCTATGTTAGTTACCGGCTTCGCAACATGCATCGCATCTTGCAAGTCCGTCTGAAGCACGATGACTTGGACCATCGCACTGTTCGACTCCTGGACAATTGGAGCTTCGTCGGCATCCGCCATGACGACATCCCAACCATCTTCGCCGGCCTCCAGGCTGTTCAAGTGCTCATAGAAATCTTCATTGAGCTTGACATCACCGCACTGCTTGTCAGCTGCGCTCTGCGGACCTGCATCGGCCATGTCCACGTCAGACACCCCCAGCCCTGCATTCGTCTCTGGAGTCGTTCCACACGAGCCAATATCTGCCTGTGCACGCATGAAGACTGCGAAACGCTTGTGCATGCTTGTTAGCTCAAGCTTGCTGCATGCACCGACCATGCAGAAAGAAGCAACGCCGGCCATGAAGACTATTACAGACGTGCTGTCTAAACTGTCAAGTTTGCAGAACAGTTCATGAGGTTCGACAGAATGCCGTGCCTGCTTGACCTTCAGATCATTTGTGGGTATTGTCGGCCTCGCTACCGGCTTTTGGACACTCGCTGCCGGATCAAGCCGCTGTCGCTTGGCATCTGGCCCTTGGCTCAGCAGCCCAGCCAAGACACGATCGAACCGTCGCTTCTGCAACGTCTTCATGCCCATTTCTTGCAGATCATCGTGATTGACATCTTGCAAGTCAATCACACTCTGCACCCCCAGCCGCTCCAAGGGCTCCGCGAACTGTTGAAGTTCCGCATCCTTCAAGAACGCATGCACCGCCGCTTCCATGAGCTGGAGTCTTGGCTACACGTCCTTGTGCAAGGCCGAAATGGCTATGCAGAGCAGTGCTGCATGGACATTCGAATACTTTGGGAGCGCCGTTTTGACTTCAGATGTACGTCCGCCGATGTATTGCCATCTTGGTCCTTGCTGCAGCCCTGGCTTCAATCGCTCTTGTCACCAATGAAAGGCAAGTTTAATACACCGTTTCTACGAACAAACTCGTCGCACGACTTTTGACTTTCTGCCAGGTGCAGCATGTCTTAACAGAGGCCCGGCAGCAGTACCTGACCACGGACAGGAATCCGGCATCGTAAGCACAACTTGCTCAATAATATTGTTATGAAGCCTAGCTCGAGAAGATCATCAACAATGACCTGTTGCCCGTAAGAAGTCCCCGCGCCTAGAAGCAGAACTTGCAGGCAAGCGGCAGACCGGGAAGCACTGAAGGACAGCTGTTGACCTGCAGGCTGCGGAGCTTTGGCCAGGGAGATATCTGCCGTGTTTCAGACTAATTAAACCACATTCCCGCCTGAGTCCTCCTTCCAGACCAGCCGGCAATATTCCTGCCACATGTGGCTCAGCTCGGGACGTACGCAAGCAAGTCGGACTCCTCTCCTTGGTGTGTTGCAACCATCTTCTGTTGGCCCCAAGCACATCAACAACACGACGCCTATAATACTAAAATACAAGCCTTCTGATACTAATGTCTACGTATGCACGAAAAAGCAGCCCAGTCTCTGGTGTCTCTCCTTCAAAGTTGTCTCCAGAGTCTTGCGTTGCGGGGCGAACTCTGCATGCTGGCTTCTGCATGCTCTTAATGATGCGTGGGACTCCTGTATCCATTCCAAACGCTCTGGATGCAGGGTTCTGCTGGTCGAGATCTGGCTCGTCTCTTGAAAACTTGGATTGGAGCCAGACGTTTCCAGCGGCTGCCACTTGTCGGATGAAGACAAAGTGCTCTTCACCCGTCGCCTGTCTGACTCGACAAACTCCAGAAGTGCCACCCTTCATCCCTTCACCCCTATCGACCACTATTTCGCCACCCTTACCCTCCCTTAAGCCCTTCTCTTTCTTTACTGACCAAACATCCAAGATTTCTGCAAAGTTCGACCCAGCTTCAGGCTCCCGACATGTTCGTTCCAGTCATAGTCAGAGCCCCGCGAGGGAAGCTCGAGCTCCACCGGTGGCCCTGGCCAGGGGGACACAGATAGGAGCATAGGTATCACTGCTAGAGGCTCTACGGTGATGTATTGTCACCACTTCAGTAGATTGAAAGAATACGGTGTTTTTGGTGGTAATGCAGTACGCATGATAGCATGATTAGCTGTGATTCATGGCGATGTTTACAAAGATCACACGATGGTGTCGATCAGCACTCCAAAGACCCCGAAGCCTACAGCAGCTTCAACCGCAGTTCGCAGTACGCACTCCATTCTGAATCTAAGCTTCAACTCCTTAAGCCCTGAACCTCCTGAACTCCTTAACACCGGAAAGCCTGATGGCCTAAACTCCCAAGAATCCTGAAGTCCCCAAGCCCTGAATATCCAAACCTCAGGTTAGAGATCTGAACCCCCCCCAACCCTCAAAAACCAAAAATCTCGAAACACCTCAACTTCTGAACCCTCGAAACCTTCCGACACCTTTGCAGAACCCTTACAAAAATCGACATATGCGAATTCCTACGATGCCCTTCCAGAACCCGTCGTAGCCAACCCCAAAGTCCCTTGGTACCCTAAACTACTCTCTCAAGCCTATGTACCAATAACCTAAGCATTGTATCCTACACCCTGTGTTCCCTAAGACTCAAACCTCCCTGAACCCGAAACTGCTAAACCCAAAGCCTAAAGCCTAAACTCCAAAACCCTCCGGAGGAGTCCGGTTCCGGTCCTTGCAAGCAGGACTCGAGGATGCCCACGTGCTCGAGGAAGCCAAGAGCCCGATCCTGGTGGAGCTGTCTTTGGTTTCGGTTTCGGGGTCCTTCTCTGGAAGTTGAGGGGTGTACAGGGTTTTTCGATATGAGGTGGTAGGGGGAACTACGGGGTGTACAGGGCTTGTTGATATGAGGTGGTAGGGGGCTTCGGTTTTAAAGGCTCTGAGGCTCTGCGCAGGGTTTGAGGCGTTCGGGTTAAGAAGACCCTGCACACTGAACATGAAGAAATGGCTGCTTTCACACGCGAAATACCCAAGCCCTGCACCCGAATTTATACTGAAAGCTCCACCACGGATCCAGCTTCATGAGCTTCTGCAAAGCCTCCTGTGGATCCTCCAGGTCCTCGATCGCCTGGTCAACTTCGTGATAAGCTCTGAGCTCTCACTGTGCATCTACCTGTCTGCCTATCCGTTCTACACTAATCTAATTTAGCCTAATCTCATCTACTCCATCTCTTTCTCCAAAGTATGTACGCACCTGTATAATCTACAACTATGTGTGCAGTAATGTGTCTATACATATATGTGAGATGTATGTATAAGTGCATACACATGCATATGTAGTTTCATGCGCCCCCCCCGCCATACGATCCCTGTGCATAATGCATGTGCACTACGTGCACTAGAATCTCGTACGTGAGGGCTTTCACTCCTGGGCCTCCTCGGCACGTGCAACGAAGTGCACCACACTTGTCTTCGCTTCCAGCAGGCCCGAATATGTCTGAACTTTTGGAGGAATAGGCTTCGGACTGTCGGTTGGATCAAGCGGAACATCCAGACCCACAGTTGCCAGGAAGGCGGATGCAGCGAAGGACGCCTGGCTGGATTTCTGCTCGACCACCAGCGTCTCTAACTCCGCCATCACCATCGCCGCCTTCGTGTGCGTCTGCTTTCCCTCTTTCGGGGTGCCTGTGCTCACAGGTCTCGGCGAAGGCATGGAGTCGTGCACGAAGGCCTTAGCTCACTGTCGAAGCGAAACGCAGCAGAGCTGGAGTCATCGTGTAGCTCCATTCTGAGCTGGCCTCGTCTCCAATTTTGGGCCGGCTGCTCGCCGCAGTGGGAGTGGTCTTCGGTGTGGGCAGCTGGCGAGAGCGGCCTGCGACAGCCAAGGGCACAAATAGTTGAATAACGCGAGCAAAGCTTCAGGAATGTCGGTGTGCCTTGAGCAGCTGATCGTCCCTGCGAAGACAGGTCCTGACCACTCTCTTGGCTTCATCGTTTCTGCAGGCACAGGGAAAGACATACTTGTAGCGCCGGCACACGGCACAGACCTTCGGAATCACCGAGCTGGATGCCAGGTATTTTTCGTAGGAGTCCCACTGGTTCGATACCTGGAGTTTCGAGTCTCCGAAGTATGAGAACATCTGTCAGGAAACTCCGAAATATGAGAACATCTGTCAGGAAACTGAGGCTCGGACCAAATCATGATCGCCGCTGGCATTTTCAAAGTCCCCCACATCCTCAGCGCTCTGCAGGCAGGTATCTTTATCGCAGGGCTGGAACATTCAGTGCAAACCGGGCCCTGTGCACTCAAAGGGCTTGGAGCTCTTGGTGGGTCTGCCTTTGCACGACCTGCCGCTGAGGTTTCCTGGCCTTTCTCGGTTTTGGGGGCGCTCTGACCGGAAAAATGGTTGTTGGGTGGGCGAGCTGTGGCTTGGCCAGCAGTCGCCGTGAAACTTCTAGCATTTGCTGTGCGTGAGTCTCCGGGGTTCCCGGAAGGCGTGGGTTGGAAGGCATGAAGCTGGGACTGCTTGGCAGCGGCCGGCGCATCTTCCGGCGGCCTCTTTGTCTGCGGCACGGTCCTTGTAGTAGCCGTGGCGTGATGCAAAGGGGATCGGGACAGTTCTGGAGATGCGTTGATGTCATTGGACAGCTTTGGAGCGCGGCTCCGCGGTGATGATTCCTCGGAGCTGGATGGTGTTGCCTTAGCATTCTCTGCTCTGTTGGAGCCGCCGCCAGCAGAGCGAACCGCGGCTTCAACCGGATAAGGATCTCCCCAGCAGCCACCGCCGCCATGTTCCACATCAGGACCTCCGGCAGCACCATCACCAAAGTCAGATGCGCCTCCGAAAGTGCCGGTGCCATCCTTGGTCTGGACCGTCGGCGACAGCTTTGCGAGTGGGTTTCCGAGTCGGAAGGCTGACCAAGGAATCCTGGCTCTCATGAAGCTCATGCCCGTGCGTTGGCTTCCTCCGCTTGGGGATGCGCTTGGCAATACAGGTTGGGGATGGCGGCCGTGCAGTTCCCCGGTGTTCTTTCGGAAGAACTGGCTGGCCAGGCGTGGGGTGTTTGGGCTGCGCGGTGCTGTGTTGAGGCCGTTAGGGCTGTGCAGGCCTTGCTGTGAACCGGGTGGTGGGCGAGGTGACAGGAGTCCCGGAGCTGCCCCCTTAGGGGAGCCATGAGGGTACTGCGGAAGCGGCGGAAGCTCGTACATAGTCGGAGCGGAAATGCTTCCGGCCTTCGGCGATCTCCAGTCTCCAGTCTGCCCGGCCCTGGTGTTGCCAGACAGTGCCGACACGCCGTGGAAACCCTGCGGCGTACCGGGTTCCTGACTACCTGAACTGTCGCACAGCCACTGCATGTACTGTATCTTGGCTTGGACCTTCTTCCTTTTCTCAGCTAATACACCACGGTCTAGGTGTTGATCCTGCGACAGGAAATCGAAGGAGGTTATTGCCACCTGAGAATCGCGCCGCTTGCGCTCACTAAGGCTATTGCGGCGTTGGTCGACCGCAGCCGAGAAAACGAAGGGTGCAGCGGATGCCTTGCAAGGGGACGACGTCGCCTGGGCGTTGACGTCGTTCCCCCCGGGGGTATTGGGCGGAGCTTGGACGACGTGCCCCGATCGGTGCGAGGTGGGCATCTGCTGACCAAGGGCCATGACCTCCTCAGCAAGGCTCTGCTTCCACTCGGCACTTCTCTTCTTGAAGTCCTCTTGGCTGGCTTGCAGCTTCTGAAAAAAGTCAGAGGTAGGGGAGCTTGCCCTCTTCACGGGCTTCTCGCCCGAAGCAACAGAGTCTTTTCGAGGCCGGAACAGCGTACGGACGTTCTGTGCCTTGCGAACGGACCGCTGAAAAGCCTCTCTGACCTTGGCTAGTGTAGGAACCTGATTAAGAAACTTGGGCCTTAATGGGGGTTCCTTGCATAAATCCTACTATTTCGGCGTTATAGGCCCAGGGTTTCTTAATCAGGTTCCTACATTATTCCAAGTCTTGCATCGAAGCACTTTCGTCACAACGGTCAGTACGAGGCACCTTCACTAGGAGATCGCCCTAAAAAGTTTCTGAAGAGGATCCGCGAGGCAAGCCTCTTGCGCGTTTGCTCCTGCCCTGCTTTGGCGAGGCGCTTCGCAATGATTAGTTGCTGACCGGCTTGCCGGAACTTGCTTTTCAAGGTCTTCGCTTGACAAAGCTCCCTCAAATCATCCAAGCTGTCGTCGATGTCCTCGAACATCTCTTCCGCCTCATCCGCGTCGAGACCTTTAATTTCAAAGAGCTGCCGAACCTGCTCCAGCTTGTTGAGGATGCCTGGGCAAAAAGCAGGGCTTCCTCAAGATCTGCACCACAGGGCGGAGCATGCAGAGCCCGAAGCAACGCAGCAACAGCAACACAGAAACACCGGACAAGGCGCTTTGTGCAGCATCCATGGCCTCAAGCTGCTCTCCGGGGTTCAGAGAGCTCTTGATCTCGCGAAATTTGGCCGCCAGTGCGTTTGCCTCCTTGTAGCGTGCGCCGGTTCTGCCCTCCAAGCCATCGATTGCCTCAGATTTGCCATGTGACTGCGCAAGCCGTAAATCAAAATCGATCTGCAGATCCATGTCTCGCCCCTAGAGATGCCTAACACTCAAGCTAGCGAGAGGAGACCCCGAGACTTCAGCACACCGAGTTGGCTTTTCTGCTCCGATCGACAACAGCGGCTGAGGATCCTGCCACAAGGTGACAAAATTTCTCGTGGAGGAGCTGCTCTTTATTCAGCTCTTTGGTAACGCTGAAATACTTCAGAAGCCCAGCAGTGCTCTCAACAGTGTTTGTCGACCGGATGCCCTTGAGGATCGCGGTAGACGCATGCTTCCATCGCGTGGAGGCATGCTCTTGACCTAGGTCCTCGGAGGAATCCCCACTGCGAGGGAGACTTCTTGTGGATGGGAGGACGGCCAAGGACTTTCGCGCCTCGCTGTAGACTCTGCGGTTTTTGGCGCTCTTCGTGATGGGAGCCCGGAAAAGCCCAGGCTCCTCGGGCAATTGCAGCTTGTCCTCAAACATTCCCTCGACTCAAGCGGCTGGGCGCCGGGGGTTCTGCAAACAGCATGGCGAGCTCTCATTGCTGTAGAGCTAGGTGTCTTCCTGCATGTGCTTGGTAATCCCTGTGCTGTGTGGGGGTTTGCATCCGACTGTCAGCACATTCTGCAAACTGTAAAGATTTAGAATATTTGGAGATAACTGCTTTTGCACGGGAGGCAACTTTGATCTTTCGTGTCGTTGTCCCAGCCGACTTGCATGATTGAAGATTTGCGGCCATGAAGGAATATGTCAGTGAGGCACTCCGCGTGCAACGAGGGCAGTGCGTGTAGCTCTGTTCGTGCAAACTACAACCCATATGAAGCTGCAAACAGTATGCACCGAGTCCATTCTCGCTTGCATCGTTTGCTCTTGTTCTGCGTGTCGCTTCTCGACTTCGATGCTTTATCCTGGCAAGAGGTCACACATGTTGCTGCAGAACATGCTAAACTTCTGTGCTTCCCTCACCACGGCATGAGAATCCTAAAAGCTGGGTTCCGAGTCTGGTGCCAAAACCCGTTGCCTTTGTCGGTTTACTCTTTGTTCATCCTATGATGCAATCTTCGGCCTCGTCTTGCGGCATTTCGCCACCTGCTTGCCTTGAAATCGGCGCAGTGCGATCCTGGCTTCTGCAACTTTGGCACCAAACACTTCAGGGCTGGAAGCTTAGATGGGTTATGATCATTTCTGGATTTCCGTGTCTTTCTTCCGCTCAAGATGCAGCCTCCTTGCCAGGCTGTAAAGCGCACGCTCGGACGAGGCGATGAGGGATCCATATCGCGAGGGCCTAAGAACTGAGAACCCTGTGAACGTCTCTGACGACCCATCTGAGGCAGGTTCCCAAGGCGGAGCAGGTCAGTGACTGCAGCCTTGAGCAGGCCCGCGTCATCCTGCAGGTTGGCCGGGGCTGAAGGGCCTACTGAGCTACTGTAAGCACCTACGCGACAACACCCACTGGTAACATTACATAGAGACATAAGAAAGTCGCGCAGGACTCCTGTAGCCGCAGGTAGGCCAGACCTAGGCATGGAGCGACATCAGAGTGCAGATTCCAATTTCCAAGGCGCCGGCATGCATGTGCCATCTCTTCTTCAGGGCCAAGCCGCACCTGCGAGACAAAGTTGAGGAAAGAATCAGAAAGCAGGTGAGGAGTCGCTGCCTTCAGCAAGGGGACGGCCAGCGTGCCAAAGACATCTTGTAGACATGCCTGCGACTTGATTTGGGCATCTGAGCTGCCATCAAGTCTGGACTTCGGGCAGAAATCAAAACCGTCGCACGCCACATGAAGAGCGAGCATGGACACGCTGGCATAAAAAGCGCGGATGTTGTGCTAAGTCTGCATCTCAGGACCAAACAACACCGAAAGGCCTATGCGAACGGACGATGACCTTGTGCTTCCGTTACTTCGACGATGCCTAGTGGAACTGACTTGTCTAATCACGTTTATAGCTGTCTACCCTGACTGCTGGACATACCTCACTTGAAGCACACAGGTTTCCAACAAAATTTCCCAAGCCTTGAACCTGGGCGAGATGCCCTTGGGCCCACCCAGGATCGTCACACAAACCTGGCCAGGCATTTCTTGGGTTGACGTGAAGGTAGATTCGGGAAGCCGAAAGCAGAAGCTTTAGACGGCAGTTTGCTGTGCGAAGACAGTTTGGGATGTGCGGGCGGTGAAAAGCTTCTTTCTTGGATTCGCCAAAACCACCTTCACCTGCAAAAGTCGTTCTGAAACCCTCAACCCACGATGCCGGAGCGATCAACCGATCAACCTCTGCTTGGCGCGCCTCTGGGTCAGCAACATGCCTCGCTGGCTTCGACAGAGGGGAGGCCTGGCCACAAAGGCAAAGGGTTCATGTACAGCAGGGTCCGAAAACACCGACGAAAAGGTTTGCGTGCAAAAACAAGAGAATCGTTTCGGACCCTGCTAGTAGTACAAGTCCGAGTTCACTAGAAGGTTCCCAGGTTAATACGAAGCCTTTTGTGCGTTATGCTTGCTGCGGGTTTGTGGAGCTGAGGCTTCCGCGCAGTAGGGTTTCAGGGTGGCGCCGTCGATATCCAGCAGCATTCCAACGACCTGGGCATGGGTCGTCATCCGTTGGGAGTCAAGTGAGAGTCCTTGCTTGGCCTGTCAGTCGGTCTGCCCTTGGTGACCCCGCTGATGGCCTGCTCTCACCGTTGGTGTCTCTGCTCCATCCCATCCGCAACCTTAGCGGCGAAGCTGTTACCAGCGCAGCTTCAGATAAGGAGGCAAAGGTCTTTGCCGCCGGATAGCTTCTTCAAGAAGTGGTGTGCACCTCAAGGGATGCCCGCAGGTCAGTACAATCATCACGATGAAGGATGCGCAACGCAAGGCAGTGAAAATTCTGGCGAACATGGCGCCAGGCTTTCTGCTGTTGGCTGCCTGCCCAGTGAAACGCAACAGGTCATGCGATATTAGGAACCTTAGTTTACACTCTTTCGCAATCGCAATTCAGCAAGCATGGTCAACCAAAAATTGCCGAACTCATCAATCCTGACCGTGACCATCAGCGCTGTCAAAAGCACAGTCGTCATCCTCATCCTGTGGATTTGGATTTATAGCAGCCGCCAGAATCGTAGAATCAAAACAGAGTTTTGGGGTATACGGTATATTCAAACTACTCAGGCCCCCAATATAGGGGCCTGAATGATTAGAATACGGTTTTGGGGCCCATTATGCTATAATTATAACAGGGGACCACCAAAATAATATAGGTAATCATTAAGCCCTACTATAGATCCCTTTACAGGACCCCTTTCAGGATCCCTTTAAAAGGAACCCTAGGTAATCATTAAGGACCCTATACTAAATTCCCATAATACCCCTCATAGCAATCCTTATAGACCCCCTTTTAACAGGAATCCTCAAAAAGGAATCCCGAAAATATTACATATTACTATAGACCCCTACTATAGATCCCTTTAAAGGACCCCTTTAAAGGGAACTCTATTCTAATTCCTAAGGCCCCTTTTTTACATCACTGATCTCCCTGTGCCTCGGCCACTCGAACCAAGACTCCTCGAGCTCCCGCTTCAGAAGCTCCTAGCAAGTTCGCGTAGGGATTTAAGGCTTAGGGGTTTAGGGTTTAGGGGTTTAGGGTTGAGGGGTTTGGGGTTTAGGGGTTTAGGGGTTTAGGTGTTAGGGTTTAGGGGTTTAAAGTTTAGGGTTTAGGGGTTTAGGGTCTAGCGTTTAGGGGTTTAGGGTTCTCCCATCAGCCGAAGGCACCTGTAGCGCTCGCCCTAGCCAGACTCTAGACACCTTCCCAGTTTCTTCATCTTGACAAGTATCTGTTCTGACTGGGTTGCACGAGTAGACGAAGTTGCTCTTCTGACTGGCCCTTCTGTTTCTTGCAACCCCCTTTACAATGGGATTAAGTGTCGCAACTACTATGATTTCATATGCCACCCTCGGATCCACCAAATATTGCGGCATCTGCGAGGCAGATCTTGGCCGGAAAGCAAACTCTGAGTTTCCAAAGCAAACAGGAACATGGCATCTCCCCCTAAAGCTCTGGTTCAACATGTTATACGATGCAAGAACCCAAGCTTTTGAAACCCTTGCAACTGATCCTCGGCAATCTTTGGCTTCCGCACATCGATTCCCGGCGTGGGATGCTCAGCCTGCCGGGTAGACAAAAGCTTAAGGCGCCGTCGGATATACTTGAGGCTTGGCTCTGGGTCTCAATCCCTAAACTATGAGGCTTGCCTCAGTTTTGGGGTCCCTATAAACCCCAAACCCCTAAACCCTTAAAACTCAAACCTTGAATTATCTTGAATTTAGTAGCCGTTCGCCTCTGTTTCGGCTGTCCAGCTCTCCATGGCCTGGGCGGCTGCAAGTTTCTTCTTCGAGCGTTGTCGGGCTCTACGGCCTCTTCTTGTCCCGCCTACTACTACTACTACTACTACTACTACTACTACTACTACTACTACTACTGCTTCAATTGCTGTTCCTATTTCCCTTTTATTCCTGTGCCGATTATCTTGAGCTCTCTTCCTTGCTATCCTTATCATCAGACGGCCTGAACCTGAAGTCCAGAAGTCCTAAACCCTACAGACCTAAACCCGAAGCCGAAGGAAGATCGCATCTGCAAGGGAGAGGCGCCTCTTCCACGCCTCGGCAGGCCCGGCGGCCTGACAGCCGCGGCGCAGAGACAGTTGGGTTTAGAAGTTTAGGCTTTGCGGTTCAGGGCACATATTGGCCTGAAGCCCTACGCGCTTAAACCCTCCAGTGCCAGATGTAGCAGATCGGGTCAATCAACCTCCACGACTTTTTCCGTTTGGCTTCTTTGTCGCGATCTGACATTTTTGTTTTTGGTCATGTGCGAACTGCCCGTTGCAGTCTTCAAAACCCCGCGACAAAGAAGATTGATGAATGGGAAGGAATCAGAATCTGCTTTCTTTCGGTCGCTCGCATTGGCTTTACCCACATCAGCAATCTCGCACTTAAACAAACAAGAAGCCACAAGTTGCCCCGGGTTTCGTCTTGCGGAATGCATCGCCTGCGTTTGACTTTTTCGTAATGCCATAATGATACTAAAGTTACCTGTGACTGAGCACTCTCATATGTATGTCAGGTATGTACACAAGCACATGTTACATGCCTGCATGCGACGCTGTATTCAATACAGTTCATGCTTCGGCCGCCAGGGTCCTGCTTTACCTTCAACTCCGTAAGATACGTCGACGTGCGAACAGGTGCTCGCGAATACCGGGGACAGGAACAACGAAAATCCTTCGCGGCATGTAGAGACACATTCTGGCAGAAGTGTCGCAGTGAGTTGTCCGGCCTTCACCAGCTGCAACAATGTTTGGCCAAAGGAACTCGCAGGTCCTGAATACTGTCAAGCAACACTTTCGGTTCAGCATTGGGGAAATGCTACTAGTAGTGCGGAGTGTAGGGGATGGGTCGAGGAGCTATGGGCGTCGGCACTTAATCCTCCGAACCAGCCACAGGCAAATCAGCTACAGCTCAAGATTTTCGATCCAACCTCGGTCAAGCACCGGACAGAGGCCCCGGCTGTTGCTCGCTCGGTGCCCTTTTCGTCAGAAACCTGAGGCAGTGTCTCTAAACGGCTCTTGGTTCAATTCCCGATTTGTGTGTTTCCCACAATGATAAAGACAAAGGAGCCTCATCCAAGTCGACAGGTCATCACCTGCCGGCTTTTGGATTCAGAGAAAGCTCTTTTGGGGACCTTGAAACCAAACCTGCGCATTCAAGCTGCGGGCATGGGACCGCAAACAACGTTACTCGATTCGTCATCTAAAGAATCATGAAAACGACTCCAACTCTGCCGATCCTACATTGAGCAGCTTTCTTCTGACTGTGAGGCTGCCTTCTGGTGCCGCTGCTGCTGGCACTGACTGCTACCTCCGCCACTCCTCCTCACCCCCGTCCCTCTTGTAGAGAACAGCAGCTACTACTGCTTCTGCTACTGCTGCTGCTACTGCTACCTACTGCTGCTGCTACTGCTACTACTACTACTTCTACTACAGCTCCTTGGTGCAGTACTTGTAGTAGTAGTCGTCGTCGGCTTAGCAGTAGCAGAAGTACGGATTGAAACTCGCACTGCCCATGCTGCTGCTGCGACCGCTGCAGCTGCACAGAAACAACAGTGCTCAGGAAAAGGTGGCTCACCAAAGTCCTTTTTGCTCGCACGCTGAAATTGAAACCCGAGGTGCTAAAGGTGAGACAAGCCTGCAGCTGGCAGATGGCCCCATCTTTGGTCTTGCTCTGAAACTACATGTCTGACGGGTGCCTGCAGTAAGACGGTATCGCAGCTGGTCCAGGACCGGAGGAGGATGTGTGGACAAGTTCAGAATCGAAGTCACTCGTTGGCCAGTTCACACCATCCTCCTTGAATTCAACATCTTGCAGAATCTCCGGGGACATGTTGGTCCCCCAAACTGTCGGACCGGAAGTCCGAGATACTGACGAAACTTTGTCCGACTCTGTGGCTTGGGACAATGGCCTGGCTGCCCCATGCCGAAGACGAGGACCGACGGACTCGGGTCGGAACTTGATGTCTTCACAGGCAGGAGTCAGGGAGTCAGGGAGGGAGGGAGGGCACTAATTATCGCTCATCTGTTTCGGCCTCCGCCTGAACCTGCTCCAATGCGCATTGTGCGCGTGCCTGCACATCTTGTCACAAGCGTCCCTGATGCTTCGTGCTTCTGACTCTGCTGGACCATATCGAACTGCCAACCGAACATAACGTCCAGCTTTACCCGTCCTGCAATGGATTGATGACGTACAGTGCAGGTGAGGTTGTAAAAACTGGCGATTCCTTCTGCACGTCCCAGCTTGAAGAGGAAACTGTATGAGGTCTCGTTCCCAGTCTGTATGCCATTGTACTCAAACAGAATCAGCGAAAACTGCAGAAAAAATACAAGGAAGCAGACTCTGTAGACACATCAACAAGTACAGCTTAATAAGCAAAGCATATCTGTGCGAAAAATTACGGATGGACATGTTGGCAAGCATCACAGACCCTCTAGATAACCACACAGATAGACTTTCACCTGCAATACGGCTAATCATAGTTGAACCGGGCATATATACACACTCGACAAGCCAGTGCGCAACCACATGCGGCAGCACAGCAGTTAGATATGTACGTCTAAACGAAGAAGTTATACACACATACATACATTACATTACATTAAATGACATTGAGCTACGTTACATTACATTGCATTAACACATACATACATACATACATACACACATACATGTGCACAGACACAGGTATCCGGGTGTCATGTTGTTCATGCTCCACTGTATGCACAGACATGAACGTTTAGCTGTTCCCGTGTGAAAACAGTGTTTGCGCAATTCACACATATATATATATATGTACATATCTACATACGTCTGATCTGCCTATGTATCTACAGTAGACAGCAATACCGGTATCAGTGTAAACATGACCATGGACCACGAAACAATAAGAAGTCAAAGCATGATTGAGTCGGTACCTGTAGAGTTGGCAAAAAGGCTGTCAAGCACACCTACCTACCGACCTACCTAGCGCGCTAGCTAGCTAGCCAGCAGCTAGCCTTTCTGTCTTGCACACATTTACCTACGTATGTAAAATCTATCCAGCCTATGTGCACGTGCAGTATGCATGCATATCAGGGACACTGATATCGAGCAATTTCCAAGTGGGTCCAAGATCCACGGAAGAAAGCGGTCGTTGCAAGGTGCCTCATACAGCTGTCACAGCGCCCTGTCCCACAACTACTCTGGACGAGCCCTGCGGTACAAGAGAGTTGTTTTGGTTACTCAGGCTCGACAAAGGCACCTCATAAGTTGCAGCCCTACTGTTTAGGGCCGTCTTGACCACGCACCAAGTGGGCGGCTCAGAAAACCGGGTACCGCAAATTCAGGGGCCCTGAGGATAAGAATCTGCAGAATCCCATGATTTTTAGAGCTTCTATTTTAGGTTTCCACGTTTTCTGAAACTCCCAAGTTCGTCCACAAAGGGTGCTCCGCCCCTTGGCCATGCAGTACAATCCTTTACCCTTTTTACCCTATGCCAACATACTGACTTCCTACAATTTCCCAATCTTGAGAGCCTAAACTCCCAGACCCTAAAGGATTGAGACCCCTAAGCCCTAAGCCCGAAAGAAGATTCGGAAACTGAAACCCCGCAGCCCATTGAAAAAAGGGCTCAGAAAGGCGACCAGGACAAGGATCTCAGACTGATGAAAGAGCTCACCTCCAGAGGTCATAGGACTCTATTGTTGTTCTTATTTCTTATTTTGTTAGTAGTCGGAGGAGTAGTAGTAGTAGTAGTAGTTGGAGGAGCCCCATTGTATGTAGCCACGCTAGGACGCCTTCGGACGTTCGCGCCACGAGAGAGAGAGAGAGAGAGAGAGTAGTTGGAGGAGATGATACCAGAAGGGTTGTAATCTGGTACCGTAAGTGTAACAAGTAGTATATGGGATTTACGGCGTGGGGCTTCCGAGTCTAGGCTTTGCGGGTGAGGGTTCAGGTGATGCGTGCTTAGCCTTCAGGGTTTGGGGTTTCAGGGATCAGGGTTGGCGGACAACCTGCTATGACAACAGACGCTTTCATGCTGTGGAAAGATATGGCTCTTTCGTCCACAGGTGGCTCTTGGCATGCCTTGTATAAAATTCCTGTACGATTGTATCATTGTCGTAAATATCTGATTCGTTTCGGGTCTTAGACGAAAGGCTCAGCGAAAACACCCTCCCTGTGGATTCCGACCTCTTCCACTTCATCCCGGTAGTCAGGTCGCTCAGTCTCATCCCAATTGTCCTTGGTGTGGAGCTTCCAAACACTTGAGGGTCGAACCGCACACATGGGGCCAGATAGGATGCAAGGTTTCCAAGTTCAGCAAAAGGTTTCAATGTTGCTATCACCAGGACAAGCCTCGGTCCAGCCGGCGAGAAGCTGAGATGAGATCTCTGCGAGAGTTGGCACTGATTCCTGACCGTTCCGGGCATCACAGTGTCGCTGCAGGTCCTTTGTCCAACGGACGGCCTTCCCTGATACGGTGGAAGAGAGGTAATTGGTGGCCCAAGAAGGGATGAGGCCGCCCATGTCAATCTGGCTGCAGCTGGTCAGCTCCGTACCGATGACGGAGGGGCTGTTCGCAATGTGGAGGGAATGCTCACTCTCAGTCTCGGTCTCACTCTCCTGAGGCGAAGGTCTCAACAGAGCTCCAGCCTTGTGTACGAAAGCCCGAACACGGTCTGGATCTTTGGGCACCGCTGCATCCTCCATCGACCGGGAGACGAGCGCGCAGCCATTTCCGTTTGGAGAGTTCAGGGGCAGCCTCCACTGGCGCTTCAGGATCTCGCGATCCCAGAAGGGCCGAGGGCAGGTGATGATGCTTTGGTAGATCTCTTCCATCATCTCATCCTCAGGCTGAGCGTTCTGCAAGAGGGTGTTCTCACCACCGGCGTCCCACTGTGCCCGCTCCTGGCACAAGGAAGCCGTCACGTCCTCAACCGAGGCACCCTTCAAGCGAGTCCACAAGCAAGCGATGATCACCGGAGACTCCGCATCGTGGCAAATACAGAATCTCATATCCGGCTCATCAACCAAAACCTTAATAGACATCGTATCATCATCTGAGCCTTTGGTACCAGGATCGGTTAAGTCCGCGTTGGAAAGGCTCTTATCACCTGATGCAAAGGCGGCAGAGGAGAGTGGACAACACATTCGCTCAATTCGCAGCAGGGATCTCAGAAGCTCTGCTGGTGAGCTTCCTTCCGCCGGTAAGCTGGGTTTGAGCTCCGGCTCTGCAGGGGCGGACCACAAGTATCCGCCCATGGCTCACAAAAGCAGAGACAGAAGAGACTCACTAAATCTGGCTTTTTCTGCCCTGACACCCTGAAAGGTCCGATGCTGCCTCATTCAGCTTCCTAGCCGAGGACCGGTGGAGGCTCGGACGTGTGTCTGGTGTTGTGCATCTGTGTTCGAGGACTCCCATTCTTGCGAACACGGTTTTGAGCAGCACGAAGACGGAAGCACGTCCATGTGTGGTTGAGACAGCTTGCATCAACTGTGAGCGCAATACTGTACACCCTCCAGGGTAAGAGCTACCAGCAGAATCATGGTGAAAGAAGCATTGCAATCGCCTTCGATTGAAACGACGGCATCGGCCTGACAGAAGAAAGCAATCTCGGACCGCACCGCACAAGCCGACACCCAAAACCATCCTTTATCCCCAAAGCCGTAGAGGTGAGCTCCGAAGCCGAAGAAGCGCTGAAACTTCTGCGTGTCCGAAAAATCCTACTCAAGCTCCGGACCCAAAAGAGGCGAACAGCTGCATCCGCTGGCCTCGGAGGACGGGTGAACAGACTACTGTCTGTAGTTATTTGCGACTACACATGTCTTTCGGGAGCAAACGGGAAGTCTGTGCAACTGCCCATTAGTCAATCCTGCTTCCTATGCCTGGCCCAAAGGCTTCCTTGGAAGGCTCTTGAGATAGCAATATCCCCTTACAGCCCCTGGGCATAACACTGCAATACGACCCAAAGCCCAGAACCCTCTCAAAATTAAGACATATGCATCAATTATTAAGACTGTACGGAAGAGGGAGTTCTCAACAAAATGTGCCCTGGAGGACTTGCCGTCTTGAGACCGGACTCATGCGGGAAGCCTTCACTTCTGAGAACACCTGCTGAATATTATTACAAGTATCATGGTCGACATACTGTTGCAAATGCTACAAATTCGTAAGTAGTACTACTACAATTTTTTACGGTGAAAAAATCGTTGTTAGTGTAACTCCTTTATGCTTCTTATTTGTGCCCTGGCCCTCTGCAGGTCCACCACATCCGGGGAGCTCACGCTACGGCCAAGCACTTGGCCATCTCGTCCAAACGCCCCCGAAAGGTCGCCTCGAGACTAATCGGAGCATGGTATTTATGTGTATATAAATAAATAAACAAATAGAAAAAAAAATCAATACATAAATGAGTAAATACATGAATATACATATGTATATATGCATATATATATATATATATATATATATATATATATATAGTATAGCTCCAAGCCTCCAAAGCCACTTGGGGACCATCCGACCTCAGTTGGCGTGAGAATGACAGCGAGGATGAATGCAAGATCCAGCACCGCCAGGCTCGCGGCGCATAGAGGCAGTAAGCTGTGTTCATCACCCAGATCTCCTGCTTCCCAAGTTTGAGGCCTTTCACAGCTTCCCCCAAGCCCGAGCCTGATGCGTGAACTGCTTTCGCCATGTCATGGGCAGTAAGCCGAAGCTGCTAACACGGGCTGCAACTGATTGGCAGACTTCATTTCTAGCCCTTCAGGTCAACACGACGACTTGGAGTGTGCATCGTTGATACTTGCGTAGCTGAGCACCCATGGGGTGTGAGAGTCGCATTGAGTTGCACTCCCAACGGCGGAGCATCGTGCATCCAAACGGAGCATGCATAGACGGACTTGAAGCCAGAAACTGCGTAGTATCAAGCCTCACCACCGGCAAATCTCTTCACCGTCAAAGAGCGATGCCGTAGGATGCTTTAGACATGCTGTCGGAATCTAGTGCCGAACATCAAGACGTGCAGACGAGGGTACCTCACGCTTCGCACGAGCACACCACCATGAACCTCTAGTTCCAAGACTTCCCTTTGGAATCTGCATCCATGCGGGCATCTTTTTACCTTGCTGAGCCGCGCAGAGCCGGACTTCGCCACCTTGGCAACTCTAGACCGCTTGTCCCGGTCCACAACTGGAATCTCCGCTGATAACCGCCGGAACGAGCTCCAACCCTTGTTAGCTAAGCTTTAGTCTGCCAAGGAAGACGTGCAGACCACAAGTCCCAGTTCCAGGCACCCCACGGAGCAGGAGCTTCGGGACCACCACCGTGGGCCGCGCGAGGTGCGGGCAAAGGTGGGGAAACAGCAGCAACCGCCCTCTGCGAGGTTCGACGGCAGCAAGAACAGCCTTGGCATTATCCTGACAAGAATCTTTGGATCGTTTCTGACTGGGACAAACTTGGTGAGTCAAGGTCAAGTTCCCATGTTCGTCCTCCATGCGATGGAGGAGCACAGTCTCGCCGCCGCCACCAGAGCAGTCGCTTAAGTACAGGATGAAGGTGTGAGTGGATCGTCTTCCCTTCTCGTCAGTTCGCACAAGGTCGAGGTGCGGTGGCAGACCACCTCCCACATCTGCGTAGTGCAGGAAGCGCATATGAGGCATTGTAACCTCCAGCTGAAGATCCACCAGCTCTCGGTGCTTGTCTTGGGCGGCAAGGAAAGCACGCTGAAATGCTTCCTGTATCCATCCTTCCGAGTCGCCTGGGGAGGCAGCAGACGTGTGTACGAATATCATGTCTCGAAAATATAATAACCTTTCGCATGCACATTATCGTCTGCTAGCAAGCGGCAGTAGTAGCTACGGTCGGAGGAGCAGCTTTTCGTGCGCGCCGCCACAGGCAAGCCTCGGCTGTTGCTTAACTGGGCCTTGCGCTTACCTTCCAGTGTTTTCGTTGCAGACTCCCCAGGCAGTCCATCAGAAACTCCAACATACTCCAACAATGTATTGCATGCTGCACGGTCCAGCAGAATCAACCACAAAAACTAAATCCAAACCCTGCGAATACAGTCTCGAAGCTTGCGAAAAGGTGGTCCACCTGGCATAGGAAGTCGTCAGCCAAGGTATCGTCCAGGATGCAACTTCCTGCCCCGGCGGCGTCCTCGCAAGGCTTGATGATGAAAGCTAAAACCATAGGATTTAGGGTTCCGGATGTTGAGGTTGGATATCCATGAATTGAACTGGCTGACATGATGTGCAGCACGGGCCTGTGGTTCGCTTGATCGGTTCAGAAGTGCTCGGGCTCGGGTCATGAGGCTTCGTGCCTGATTTTTGCATTGGTCTGGCATGTCTGATTCGTAAACCCAACATATGACACCGTAATGACGCACTGAACAACACAACAACCAGTTTGAGCAGTCGTAGCAAGCACAACAACAGCAAACATCAATCCCTTCCCTGGGTGTCCGAGTCGAGCGTGATGAGCCACTGGAAGGACGGGTCCGGCTCTGCGCCAACCACGGCAGAGCGCTGCACAGGGACCCTCCTTGCGCCGGCCTGCATTGGGTTCCGGAGAGTCTCCGTGGAGGGATCGTCAGAGTCTCGAAGCTTGGGCTGGGCTATGTGGTCTTTGGGCTCGGGTTCTGGCGAGCCCAGGGATTTCAGGCCTTTGATGGCCTTTGGATAAAGAAGCAGCTAAGGCAGCCAAGGTCAAGGCAAGCAGGGCCGCAATAGAAGTCATATTTTTAAGACCGCTTACTCGGACCTCCACCAGGGCGCGTGCAGCACCTGTGGTCGGGCGACGGTTCACAGGCCAATGCGAACTGCCGCTTCCCTGCCCGCAGAACAGAAAGAAACGATGTAGTGGCCTTCATGTCCAATGGCAGCAGCGCAGGCCCAGGCAGACGTGCCTCCGTTTGCCGGCCGGTCCTTGCACAACGATTCCACAACTTCCTATGTCAATCAGAAGCACACGCAGCAAATCGAGCCAAGCTGTGGCATCTGCAATGTCTGCACCGGCCCATACCAGCAGCGAGATTACCTGTCCACTGAGCTCCATGACAGGGAACAGTTGCCTAAGTGCTTCTGAACCCGCCGGGTTTCTTTGTGGCTGTTGGAACACTTTCTGCCACATGTGTCGGGACGACGATATGCCGTATGCTAGCATTCCTTGCAGCCGTCATCTCAAGTGATCGGCAAACGGCCCATATGAAAAAACCGTCGCCTCCGCCGCATCGTGATACGCTGCCAGGAAGACTGGCGACTGGCCGTACCTCAACGTGCTACCGACTCGCCCACGTGCCGCTGGGGTGCCACCACAGTCCAGTTCACGTCCGAGGCGAGGGCTCGTTCACAGCGTCCACGTCTACTCCGGCCTTGGAGCGGTGGCAACGGGCAACGACTCACAAACTCCCACTGAGCTGGGCCTCGAAGAGAGCGAGCAAACGGAGCGTGTCCCCTGCTGCCGCTGCCTGCATGCTGCAACTCAGGAGGTGGTCGAGTAGCCTAGCTCAGGCTAGCCGATGCTCTGCATTTTGGGGGTATGTTCTCCTTGGACTTGGACACCCTGTAGATCCAGGCTGAGGTGGGATCAATGCATCCGGCCTTGTGCAGTTCTGCGGTGCGCTCCTCGGCACGACGCCCAAACACTCTATCTCTTGCCGTCTGCAGAGCATATGCCATATGCAATCACGTGTGGGTGCTGGTAACCGAGCAATCTGCATGCATGTGTAGAGTCATGGTTAGAATGGGGTTTCGGGGTACACAATATACGTGAACATGACAGAGCAGCTTGCGGCGGCAGAACACCACCAGAGGTCCCTGTAATCTTTCAACAGTCCCCGGCTCCTGCTGCGTAGCACCCAGGTGCGCTGAGGCCGCCTCCCGTGGATGCTGGGCCTGGAACCTGCGCACGATAGCTGTGCGAACTCTCCAAGCACCTTGCTGTCTTTTGAGACAAGTTTCGATTCGAGGCACAACCAGAGACCGAAGCAAGTATCGTCACAGGCTTTAGGTTTTGGACCAGGCAAAACCTTTTCACCGCTTTCCACACGCTTGGAGTTCGAAGCATCGCAAATCCGAACTTCTCCGACTGCGTGTGCCTCGGAGCTTTCAAGACCTTGGGAGCCGCCTCGGGGGCCTTCCAGAGAAGACCCGGATCTCCAAACTTCGAGGGTTTTTCTCGGGCTCGAAGACGTGATTTAAACTACAGTGGGCTGCGAGGGCTTCGGGGACACAGGATGAGGCAATCTCTGCCCAATCCTCACCTATCATCTCCACCCTCTCTGGCCCCAGGGGCCTCAGCCTCTGGGAGTGTCAGGAACTGCTCCAGCATGGCCTTCACCAGGCACATCACGTATCGGTGCTGTTTCATCTCTACGCCTTTCTTCTACCCATGCTTGCACAATCGGAATTACATGTCACGATCCGTCGGAGATGACCTGCCCTTCTCTCGCCCCGACCAGGCCGGACTTTCTTAGGTTGTGCTGCTCTGTTCCGTTTTCGGCCCTCCTTCTACGAGGAACGCTTTCCATATCTGGGAGCAATACTAGTCTAAAGTGTTGCTGACATGGGATCTGTAGCAAAGGACACTGCAAGGAAACAAAGTGTTTACAGTTTTCAGATCGAGAAAAACTGGGTGAAGGTGCAGAATTAGATAGGTGTTGGGAAACCAGACCGGTTAGCATGCCCACATAAACTACGCACCCAAGATGCTAGACGTGCAAACAATGCGCGCATATGCAAGCGATGAAGCGGCATCCATAGTAACACAAACAACAATCGCAAAGGGCAGTTCTCAATCGTGTTGCATCAGCTCGACACCAGAAAAGCTAGTGGAATCGCCTCGTCGCTTTCGGGTCGGTTTTCTGGTGGGTTGCATGAATTGGGCAACCCTCATCTGAGACAGATGAATGTAGTACAGTTTTGGATTAGAAATCATGACAACGAATACTGAGGCTCTTCTCGCTTTTCATACGTTGGCCGTTGGCCCCCGAGTTTTAGTGTGCCGTTCGAAATCGTTCCAACACAAGCAAGCCATCATGCTGATGGAATGAAGCCATGCGCTCCGAGCAATGCTACAGCACGGCCTCCGACAAATGAACCGTCAGCAATATCGAACGAAAAAGACGGGATGCACAACAAAAGTTGTTACAGCAGACAATATGACCAACAGCCAACTAACTAAGAAGAATGGAATGCCGATGCACGCATGTGATGCTTTTCACGCTGCGCACTAAACAAACCAATACGAGCACGCGCGCGCAACCAGAAGTTGCGCCCCCAAAGCCGAAGGAGGCAGTGCTTTTGATGCGGTTCCGGCCTCCCGTCTTGTGGAGGCGGCCCAGGCTTCCCAACGCTTCAGCAACGTCTGTTCCTGGACATGATGTACGGACATGTCTTGTCACAGAGGCCGGCGGCGATACTGGTGGCGCAGATTGTGTCGCTCCGGTCAATGATGCAAAATTTTGGATTATGGTAGTGCCGACGATACTTGTTTCATCATGCTGGTCATTTGATATTCGGTGTGTGAAGATGACGACGATGACAGTCATGACATGTCATAGCCGTGTAAAACTTGAGCACTGAGATGGTACAAGTATTCTTGGCTTGGATGGAATTACGGCATGACCGAAGGAAGTGATGAGCCAGTGGTCCTTACTAACAATAGGGTACTAACAATTAACGGCAGAAGCGGCAGGTATGTTCTGTGTATTCCAGATCGTTCGAACTACGAAACAACAACACCCTTGTCATACTGAGTGACATATGACTTGACCAGCGCCAGTTCAAACGACTAAGCGGTTGTGAAAGGCTTGCGCACCAGACAGCCTCGTCCACGGCGCAGGATGAGCGCTCATCCGCTGCCGGAACATCCTTACTTAGTCCCGACTAGGCGACCGACGCAGGGTCAAGAAAGAAAGTTGTGGCTTTCTGCAGTCGCACTGGTGTTTCAGTGGATCAAGCACCACACCAGTCATCACTAGTGACGCTGGTGAAAGGCCAATCTGCTTGAGAAGCCCTGCGTTGTACTACACTGAAACCTTGGACTTGACACCCTCTATGATGCCCTCATCCGCGAACAACAGCGAAGAGCCCAAAGAGGAACCGCGGTCGAAACCCGAAACCCTGACAGGGCAAACGGCTGAAGCTTCCTCCACCGTTTACTGTCAGCTTGCGAGCTTAGCCGATGGCTCCATTTTCCAGAGCGCCATTCCTCAGTGCCCAAAGAAATGGGGGGCTCCGCGAACTTCATGCTCATAGCACTTATCATGCTAGTGTTGTTGCGGCTGTGGGGAAATATCAGTCTAGCCGCAGGCGTTGTCACCATCATCATCATCATCATCATCATCATCCTGCTGTCTTTGTTGTTGCTGCTGCTGTTGCTGCTGCTATTGTTTCTGCTGCTTGTTCTTGTTCTTCTGCACCCTCTTGTTCTTGCTCTTGCTTCTTCTATTGCTGTTGCTTTAAGTTGTTGGTTGTTGGCCGTAACCCGTCGCCGTTGTTGGTGTTGCTGTTGCTGCTGATGCGGTTGCCAATGTTGCTGTCGTCGTTGGTGCTGTTGCTGCGGCTGCTTCTTCTAGAATCCAGTCACAGCCGACACCATCATCGCGAAACACCTGGAAAGCCTTAGCTGTATGCTTGTCTTGGTATCGGTATTGTTTACAAACGGTCTCACTGCCATGGTCTGACAGCAAGTTCTTCACTCAGCTATGCGGCCATCCGCTCTACGATTGATTGCGGCCGGCTGTGTTCTACCTAGCACCTGGGTTCGTTTCAGGGACTCGTGCAATGCTAGTACAACTGTGGACTTCGCATCACATGTGCCGCAATGATTAAAGCCCGTGCTGCTGCTTGTACTTGCCTGTGCAATCATCCACTCCAAATCAAACCCCACTGGATAAGTCTCGACGCCAGTCATGTTCAACGAGGCTTCTCAGTGCGGAGCCGAAGCGAATCGCAGTTTCGGCATGTCTGGCGTCTTGCAAAGTTCACATAACCTCAATGACAGCGGCACTGGTGCCAGCGGTTGTGCATCCATACCCCGTGCTTGTGCAACTCTACACTGTCTGGAGCAAATGTCTCTCCGGGGCCCACGCCACAATGGGAACAGTTCCAATCCTTGCCGTGTCTTTTGCCACCCATGCCGACAAGCATGTGCATGCCAGCACTCTTGCTTGTATGCATGAATATGGCATGTCTGCTGACATCTGCTCGCAACGGGCATGATTCAGGTGACGATGATGATGGCTTGATCCTGGCCATTGGAGGCCGGAGGCAACACTGCCATACGGCCATAGCGTGCAGAGAGAGAGAGAGAGAGAGAGAGAGAGAGAGAGTGCTACTATGACCGCCATGTGCCGTGATTGCTAGTTGTAGGTCTTCTTGTGCAGTCTGTGTGTCTAGTTAGGTATTCATGACATGACCATCACACTCATCACCAACAACAGCATCTTCTGAACACTGCGACTTTCTGGGTGCCGCTAGAGAGAGAGAGAGAGAGAGAGAGAGAGAATGACATCGAACGAAGCACAAGACAACTCTCTCCGGCCTCCTTCTTCTCCGGTGCGCTCGCGCTTTGAGCGTAGCCGCTCTTCGCCTCCGAAGCAAACGGCGACACGTCTCTCAGTAGCCCGGCAGGCCATGGTATCCCCGGCCTCCGACACCAGGGCCGGCACCTGCAGATGCAGGGAAAAATTGAGAGTAACTGCTCGGGTTCCATCGACTTCAGGACTGCGGTTTATGCGCGCGCCAGTGCCCGGACGCGTTCCTACTCAGGAGCACGACAGACACTCACAGTCTGAGACCAGCGCACTGCAGCCCTCTGCTGGGCAAGAAAGCTCGGCAGCCTTTGGGGGTCAACTCGGGAATTTCGCAGATCTTCCTGCTAGAATGCCTACTTTTGCCAAGGCAAACAGCCAAACTTTCCATGTGAGCCACACGGGGAGCTACACCAAAGTCTGCTCAAGCCAGCAAAACAAAACAGTGGCAGCGGATTCAACGGTGAATTCGTCGCCAGCGTTGGTGTGTAACTTCAGAGCATCCGAAAGCAGATTTCGCGCAAGCTGCTCAAATCTAGGGGAGTCTGCTACAACGAAGCCCTGTCCAGAGATACACCGCAATGAAACGGAATGCCTTCAACCCTACAGCCCTTTGCCCCTTCAAGAGCTACCAAATGCATTCGGGCTGCCGCAGAGGCGCCTCGGCAGCTGGCGATGCGTGCTGCTCGCTGCCAAAGGCATGCTTCGCAACCTGGGGTTCTAACGCTGTCGATAGCAATGCCAACAACATCCAACAACAATACGACGGTGACACGGACACGGTACTTGCTGTCTTCGTCGTCATCAACATCATCCTCCAATTGACATTGTCATCGTCTACCAATTCTAGTACCGTACCTTATCACAGAAGTCGCAATACTAGGGAACGGCAATAGTCGTCACAGCAACAAGAAGAGCCATCAGGCTCTGCACTGACTTCCATTGCATCCGTGACTGCTGGTTTCGTACTGTCAGTACCACGGCATTTACAACGGTTTAGGGTTTAGAAACCCTAAACCCTCTGCATCGGCAGGCAGCTCTCTGGTCCTTTACGACTGCTGCTGGTGATTCGATGCTGCAGCTTCAGCTGCTATTCAAAAAAAACACAAGGGTCAGTGCCACAAGCCAAAAGCCGCACCCTCAAACCTGCTATGTGCAGCTGCCCAGCAGACCGAAGTCCAACAGGTTGTTAGCTAGCAATGGTTTGTTCAACTGACTGCCCTGCAGTTGATGTTCCCACTACCTTGTCATCATTAGCAGTCTTGCAGTATCGATGCCACCATTCCTTCTCTTACCTGCATGTAACTCGCCGAGACTGACATCACGGCTCAGGCAGGCGCATTGGTGTCCGCATGGCCAAGCCTTAAAGACGGTGGTTTCCACAAGCTTTGCCTTTTCTCCGAGGAAGGTCTCCAATGTTTGCTTGTGACTGGAACCCTGGCCCAGTTTTTGTAGATGGAATTGCAACAAAAGGAGTGAAGTATATAAACTCTCTGGCGACTTAGTGAACTGCAACTGACTGCGCTTCTCCAGCAAGATCTGCACTCCTCCAGTCTTCTGGTATTTCTTAATCAGACCACCACATATGGCGGCATGCTTCCGACTCCCCACCCTATGGCCCCCGCTAGCATCGTGCCCAGACCATCGGCAGCCCGGAGCTCATTTGTTGTTTGGCATTCCTCGAGGCACAGTTGCAGGTTTTTTGCTTAGGGTTCATGCGCCAAGGGCGGAAGCTGCCAAAGTGGTGGCCTGGAAGCATGATCAAGATATGGTGTCGTCATCATTATCCGCCAAGCCATAGCCATCATACACAAACTCAGTACCATCATGTGTCCGAACTCAGAGCTGTAGTACGGTGACGGCAGGTGAACATACACAGATTGCTGTGACAGGTCGCTGGGTGTCCTCGCAGTGTCTCGTGGACTCTACTCGTCGCCCACGGAAGCGCAGCTGCACGAGTGCCCGCATTAGCCAGACCTCTGTCGGAGTACAGAGCCGTTTAACGCCAGACTCAAGGCCTGGCCTAGCTGCGAATCGGGGCTTCGGTGGTTGCTCCGAGCGATGACGCATCTGAGGCCACGGCTGCCGATTCCATACCTGGGGCAGGGGATTTTCCAGGAGGCTGTGAGCATGTGAGCCCCAGGTTCGGGTCAGAAGGGCCATGTTCGCACCAGGCCGAGCGGCGGAGGGAATCCACGATCTGACGTGCCGCGTCCTCGCCGGCCGGCTTTGAGCTGGACAGGCCTCGCGAAGGATCTTCACCCTGTTTGGGGCTTCCACGGCTGAGCCTTTGGCCTTCATCCCGCACAGACGGATTTGCCCGCGCGTGAAGTAGAGCCTGAGCATCTCACGTGCCATCTCAAGTCAAGCAAGAGCTGCAGTGTCTATGTAGTACTCAGGCCGGAAAATGCGGCAGCTGATCGGCATGAAAATGCATGGGCTGAGGTGGGGGCATTGACGAAGTGATCACGCTTTCGCCAGGCTGCATAATAGATAAGGCTGATGCCTTGAAATGCTTGTGGTCCAGAAGCTGTGAGGGCGCTGCCAAGAAGAAGCTGGGACCAGAGCTGCGTTCCCAGCTGATGCATGCGGGGGCCTGGCTGAAGCGGACTGTTCGACTGCATGGCCGCCGCATTTGACTCGAACCTGCCTCGTGGAGGCCGTCTATGTCCAGAGTTGCAAGTTTGCGGATGCCAAACCCAGCAGCATCGCGGGCATCAATGGCCTCGTAGTAAGAACCAGCAAGCGGATAAGACGAGCTCTCCCCTTCCTTCTTCATATGTCTCTTTCGTGTGCTACTCAGCTATTCCCATTCATATATACCATATATATCTCCCCTTTCAATAGGTGCCTATGAACAGCAAAATCTGCTTTGCGTCTAGTCTTCGTATTCCTTCCTTTTCGGCTCGTCCAAATTCATGTTATTGCGACTACAAAACTCTCAGCACGCGACATGGAAGAAAGCTGCTGCTTCCTCTGGGAGGATTGGCCGCCGATCAGCCGTGCCTGCATTCAACAATGCAACCATTAATGCCAGGGTGCTGGCCTTTCTTGTCCCTCGTTTTGAAACGTTCTTCTTTCTCTCTTCCGCAGCCGCAGTCTGCGATGGGTCATTGCCCGGAGGTTCTCTAAATGTAACACCACAATTCGCACAAAGCGGAACGATCCACTGAACAGACTCTGCACGTCTCTGTGTAGGGTGGCAGGTCCAATGCGCCGAGGCGCCGCAGCAAGATCACAGAAGATGTCGGAACAAAGTTAGCCTTCATAATGTCGTCTTTACAACTTTGACCTTGACATTCGGTCTTGGTGCTGCTAAAACCCAAAATAGCGAAAGCGTAGACTCCGAAACCTCATTCTAGCTCTCTGTAGTCCAGCTTTCTGTGCGAAGCCGTCCGAGCGCAGCATCACGACGCATTCATCATGGCTCAGTAGTCCTGCTTTGCAAGCTGTCGGAGTGACTCTGGCTGGACTTGCAACGATCTGGACCGAAAAGGAGGCGAGTTGGCTTTGGGAAGAATCCAAACGGGACATCCCCATGCATTTTACAGTCCTCGTCCCAGTGCTCGTCCCAGTTCCTGCTGCCCAGTGCTTTGCCCAATTGCGCAGGATCCTCCGGGCTAGGTTGCGAAGCGTGCGGAGTTGCAAATGTGTGGGTGTGATGTGACTTTGGATCATGTGCTAAGTCACTAAGCTTTGAGTCCTTGACCTTGGTAAGCACCCGTTTGACACCACGGTCGATCACAAAATCAACATAACACTTCAATATTTTCACATTCTGTGCCAACTCCTGCAATAGCGACGGCATCTCCGAAAAGCAGCTGGCAGCGTATCTGCTCTAGCAAAACTGGCAACCCCCGGCCACCAACCCCCCCAAACCACAAAGCTTCAACCTCTGCAACATCTCAGCCCCCGAAACCCAGAACACCAAACACCCAAACTGTTACCAACAAACCCTGCAAGCTCCGCACTATAGCAACTCCCCTAAACTTTAAATCGCCGAACAGGTCCCCTTTTCAAAGCATGAAGCAAAACCAAACAAAGCCATTGAACAGCTTGAAAAACCAGCCTCTAAAACAAACAAATAAGTACGCAAGCAAGTAAACTGACAAAGTGTTATGTATGTATGTATGCATGTATGTATGTATACCACACATTACATTTACACATACATACATACGTACATACATAGATACATACAATTACATACTTACATACACATCTACATACGCATTATGAAGGGCGATCTCGACACTCAAACTGGAAGCCTCTGGGAGGTCGCCCAGGAAGACCATCGACTTGCCGGGCTCCCGGGAGTCCCGGATCCTCGGTGGCACTGATCCCCAAACAGAGACCGAGCACGACTTCGACGACAGCCAGAAAAAAAAAGCGACCGCGAGAACCCCATAGTGTGGACCATGAAAGCCCCAACAAAAATCATAGAAGCCGTTAAAACCCTGAGCACGTTAACTGTAAACCCAGAAGACCTAACTTTGGAAAGAAGCCTAAAAGCCCTCAAACCCTAAAGACCCTCCAAGGAGGTTCTCCCAAGTTAGGGCTGTGGGGATTAGGTGTTTTGGGTTTCTTCTTACAGATGGGGCTCTTCGGGGATTAGGGTTTTGGACGTACCTTTCCAGGTCTGATAGTCCAGAGTTGCGCTTGTGGATCTGGGGCTACCAGCTTCTGTTTCAGGGTTTACTAGGTCCTGTCTTTACGCTCTTGCAACAACGACCTGCAACTGTTTGGGAATAATTCCTTTAGCAAAATCATATTCGAAGTCTGCGATCAAACGAGTGCGGCTTTCAATTTTGTCAGGACTCGTTTCAGTATTTCTTTGGAAGCGGTGTGGAATGGTGTGGACAATCTGGGGCTTGAGGAGGGATCACGGAGACAGACTTGAACGAGCATGTCATTTTGACGTTTTGACGTTCTGGCTGATTAGGCATTTGTCAGCCGTATGTGTCAACATCGTTCGAGAGCAAGAACACCAGATGTTTCGAAACCGCAGGTCACAGAGCCCAAGCCAAGGATCGTCAGTCCGTCATCGTTCAGCTGGATGCTACCATCATGGCCTTGAGCAGGATTGAACAGGCAGGAAATTCTCTGACAACAGGATTGAGCTAGGACTAAGGTACAAAGGCTTCGCTGGAACCCAGAACTAGGCCTCGAAGGCGCCATAACCTCAAAATGAATCAACCTGTGCATGGCCGGCGGGATAAACGTCAACCGAGCCCGGGGCGGCCAGTGCCGAAATTGCCACCTTCGTACTCCACGGAGATCGCTTTGGCGACCTCAATCGTGTGATAGGACTGAGAGCACTGCTGAGGATATCTTATCTGTCTTCGTCATGCTACTGACCTTAGCGATGTTCGCAGTGGCTTCTTCATTTGCAGAGGTACCCAGTTAGGTAGTTAAGTAGCTGTGGGGGTTGGTTGCGCAAGTAGGCGCTCTGCTGCAAAGAAACGAACTGGTGGTGATGGTGGTCGTAGCAGCAGCAGCAGCAGCAGCAGCAGCAGCAGCAGCAGTAGTAGTAGTAGTAGTAGTAGTAGTAGTAGTAGTAGTAGTAGTAGTAGTAGTAGTAGTAGCAGCCGTAGTAGTAGCACCAGTAGCACCAGTAGTAGTAGTAGTAGCAGCAGTAGTAGTAGTAGTAGTAGAAGTAGTAGTAGTAGTAATAATAGTAGTAGCAGTAGTAGTAGTAGTAGTAGTAGGTAGTAGTGGCAGTAGTAGTCGTCGTGGGGTAGTGTTAGTCAGTGGTAGCTACATGTAGCAGTAGTAGTAGCAGTGGTAGTACCAAGCGGTAGTGGCAGCAGCAGTAGCGGTGGGAGGGACAGCAGCAGCAGCAGCAGCAGCAGCAGCAGCAGTAGCAGTAGTAAGCGGTAGCAGCAGCAACAGTGGCAGTCGTAGCACCAGCGGTCGCAAGTACTACTACTACCACCACTGCGACGAGGACTCTGCTACTGCTGCTGTGTCCTGCTGCTCACGCTTCGACTGCCACGTCGCGTGTATGCGATCTAGCATTACGACACGGGTAATCAAGCAAGGATGCATGCTATCGACGGACAGCGAATAAATTGATTTCGCACCTTGGCATGTGCCTTAGGACCAAACTGTAGAGAAGACGGGAGAAAATGCTCGACTATCGAGGCATCGAATCGAACAGCTGTTGGCCCCTAGTGCCGCTAAGCTGCAGTGTCGAAGACCACCTGCGCTTCTCTTGCCCTGGAGGCGGCAGCGGACTCTTGAGGAGGGGGGGTGTGGCTTTCAGAGTTGAACAGGCCAAAGGTTTCATCGCTCTGGGAGCATGAGGACTCCACTTCGTGCAAGTAGCACTGGGAAGTAGTATTGCGAAGCGGAGGACGAGACGAAGGCGCAGGGGAGGACGAAGGACGAAGATGCAACAATACTGAAACTTCTGACGAGCACGAGAAAGATAAAACCCTACAAGTACGAGTGTTTTGCATATGTAATTTCACGAACGAAGGTCGTCCTCTTTGGCCACCTTAATGCTTCTCTACGGGGCTTTTTGCTTCCAAAGCAGGCGCCTGAGCTTCTCGAGCACGACTTCTCGCAGCTCCTCCTGGCGGCTCGAAGCTCCCCCAAACGGCACACAAAAGCCCCCCCCACCCTTAATGGGGACCCCTACCCTATAATGGGATATATAATGGGTATATAATAGCTATATTAAGGGTATATCCCTAAGGGTCCTTATTAAGGGTCCCCCCCTCACCCCCCGAAGCCCTAATGAACCCTGGGATCCTCCGGGAAGTGCTGCATCCAATCCTCTGCTTCTCCGCAATCAGCCACCTCGCCTAGCCTTAGTTCAGGAAATTGGGGCCTCCCAGACTAGGGACTTGAGAACCACGGACCTTTAAGGACTTGTGGGCCATGTGTCAACAAAGTGACCCAAGGGTTGCTGGCTACAGGTTCTGGGGTTCTAATTCTCGAAGGCTAAGAGTCCTCAACTTAGTCGGATGCCCGCAACATTAGTCGATGGTGGCTGCTGCGTGCGTAACTCTAAACCCTATCGGTCGCAAGGCTCTGGCATCCCATGAGCATGGTTGTCGCAGACAGGTGGCCAGGTGTCAATATCATCCAGCTGCTCCTTCGTGAACCATGATGTTGCTGCCGCAAGCGCCAGTAGTGCCTCAAGCGGTCAAGCTGTAAATGCCTAGTGTAAAAGTGCTCCTGTAGGAAGGCAACGCGCTAGCCTCACCAAGCAAGCTAGCCAAAACCTGAACCATGCCAACGCTCGAAGAAGTACAGAACCAATGTACACACCTGGCTCTGCAAAGGTACTTGGAAGTTCCTGTCCAGGACCTCGAAGTCTTCCAACGCTTTCCACTCCTCGATGCAGGGATCGGTAGACTTCTAGATGACTGGGCCTGAGTCTCTTAGGAAGGACCGACTCACCTTCTGTGTTGGCAAAGTCTCAGCACGAGGCGGTAAGGACCTAAGTCCTACCTATGTGCTTCGTCTGCATCACGCATTATGTAGCCACCGAGCCGTTGTTCCCGCGACAAGCCTAGCGATGTGCGGTCACTCCCAATGTAGATGAGCGGTGCCCGACGGTGCAGTAGTGATGGTGATGATGACCATGAGAACGTACAAATGATTAGAGCTGTTGCACGACTGACAGACCTGGTTGCAGTCCTCGTACATGCGCTTCAGTGCCTCGTAGAGTCGGCCAGTCTCCAGCCCTGCCACATCACCGGTTGACTTCCGCCAGTTTGGAGCGATGGAGTCGAACCTGAGAGACACCAACATCTGAAGCCCGTGTGCAGTTCCAGGCCATGCTATCACTACAAAAACAAGCGCACTCATATTTCAGGTAAACCGAGAAGTACACCCCGGGAGAATACAATGCAGTACAGGTCCGCATTCATGTATGTGCCTGCTTGATTCTGCATGATGTATGCGAACACGTAAATGAACACAAAGGCATGTGCATGCGTGGGCGTACACGTGTACAAATCCATCTATCTATATCCACAACTCACTTCTACAAACACACCTGCACGCAAGCTGAGAAAGCAAGTCTGCATGCATGCATGTATGTGCATTTGTATGAGCCTTTGGGGGTTTTGATGTTTGGCTCGCAACCCTTGTCAGGGCTTGCAGGCAAAAGGTCCAGTAAGGCGCCGGCATTCCGATTACATCTTTTTCGCCGTACCCGGCATCATAGTTGAACGACATCTCGTCAGGCGGTGATCCAACTAGTATTCCATGGCTATACAGTTTGAGCGAAGCAGCTGCAGTACGAAGTGGGCTCGGACACAGCTGATGCCAATGCGTATGTACATATATACATATATATATAACTACAAATAAATAAATATGAAAATAAAGATAAATAAATACATAAGTATATATACATAAATATGTATATGGACACAGCTGATGCCAACACGTGAGTGCAGCCCGGCCTGAGCGCACTGCATAGCTGGCAGCCTTCTGCTCACGCCGCCTCTTAAGATACACGCGCGATACATCGCCAGACGATGACGGGTGAAACTGCCCGTGCAAGCTCTAGCCGTAGCCTTGTGAATGGACTGATCCTCAAAATGTCATGCGGGCCTTTGAAACTTTCTGCGCCCCAGCCCTTCAACCTTGCTATCCACAGCATGCGGCCTCAGAGCTACACCAGCCCCAATAAGTAGAGCCCAACCCACCCGGTGTGTTACACTTCTCATGGGCGCTTTCAGGCATGACTGATTCTCCTCCTCCATGTAGGCGCGCCTCAAGGTCTCCTTCGGCATCCTCGGAGGTGGTCATGGCTCTCCATTGCTCCAATGCTGAGACCGCTCTCGAGCTGTCATCAGAAGCTGCTGTTCTTGTTCGTAGCGTGTCATCATCTATGTGACTCTTGTTGGTGCTGTCGTCCTTGCATCGTCAGCACCAGGAGCCAAGAACTTCTCCTCCTACAGCAGCAACAAAATTTACTTCTTCTGCTGCTGGCTGCTGCTGCTACTCCTACCGCACTGCTACTGTTACTGCTACTACTAAGTACTACTACTACTACCACCACTACTACTACTACTACTACTACTACTACTACTACTACGACGACGACGATGAATGACGTTGATGTTGTCATTGCTGTGTTCGTGGTCGTGGTCGATGTGCACTTCCATCAAAAAGAGCTTGCTAACATCTCGGAGCCCTTGATACATTAAGTGATCTCTGCATGGTAGTAGTAACATGCTGCATCCGGAGAGTTCAAAATCGGAAGCCACTCCTGATATCAAGGGAGAAGCAAGTCAGCTGACGATTTTGCTGATGCGGAGGCGGCGACGGTGGGTCATGTGCCCGGCCCCCGGAGCTCAAGTCTAAACACGAACCCTAAGCCCATGGACAATGTCAGAATTCGCATTGTAGAGGACATTGATGAGTGCAGCTGGCTTTAAAAGCATCCCACCCTGTACACAGGTGGTGAGACGAGTGCCGCAGTGCCACAGAGTCAAATGCATTGCATGCGGCTGTCCAAGCAGACCATGTTTGATCTGCAGCTCAGCCACAACGTATCCGCAGTGTAGCTCAATCCCCACCCTCGAAAGAGCATGGTCGAGCTACAGCGCTCTACGCATCTCTGCACAACCGGTGTTTCAAATGGCGGACGGATTGTCAGCACTGACGCGTCCTGTGAGCATGTTGTGGACTGAGCAGCAAAATGACAGGTGTTCACAGTTACCGTCATGTCGTCTGCATGCCATTCAGAAACTTCCTCCTGCAACCATCGGTAGCAAGGCATTGCTTGGACCGCACATGCATAATGCGGATGATACGAGGTTGTGGACTCTGATTGCAACCGACTGGAAACTGGATCGACACTCCAACCTCAATTCGAGTGTACGCCCACCTGCAACACCCACTTCATCGAGGCGCCTCAAGATCAAGGCCTTCAGAAACCGCTCTTTTCGTGATGTGACGGAACTTGCGAGGGTTCAGGGTGGGATTTAGGGTTCAGTTCGCTTCTCTTGCCAAACCCAAGGAGGTTCAGGATCCGCAAAAACCTGAAGCCGATACCCAATACGCTCCAAGACGTAGCCGGGGTCTGTGCGCAGTTCTCTTCGATGCCTGTGTCCGTCGTGTCCTTGCGGGGGCCACACTTGGAATCCGGGTGCAGGCGTTGGGTTCCAAGTTCGCATGAACGAACGATATGCAAACAACGCAACATAGGGCACTGAAGCAACGTTCTGCAATATGATATCGGACTTCCCATGCAGTTCTGTTGCATTTTCATTTGGTGATGCTTACCGAGGTCTGACTGAGCTGCCAGCCAAGATCGTCCATTGCGGATGCTGCCTGCGGAAACAGGACCATTTCGTCTGCGAGGTTGACGGCTCGACTGGTCGTGGAACTCTGAACGGGATGATACCCTAAATCCCAAACCTTAAAGCCCCGGCCCCCAAACCTCCAAGCCCTAAATCAGACAAGACCCCTAAGCCCTCTCATCCGACCACTCGAGGCAGCCCTCAGGATTGAAATCCACCGGAGAGAAGCTTCAGCCGAACGGCTCTGAATGGCCACCACCTGCCAGATGTTGTAGGTCCTACTTTGCGATCCGGACCCTGAATGCCCAGGGAAGTACCTGTACAGCTTCGTGAACAAGGACATCTCCTCCTGCAACAAATGCAGAGCAGTGGGCTGAGTGTGCACCCGAAGCCGAGCATGAGCTTTGCTTTTCGAAACGACTCTAGATAACTCCCCAAGCCCATGCTGCCACCAGCTTCTTACTATTGCTGCTGATGCGCATCCCCTCCCAATTCTTCAACTGTCCTGCGCTGTGGAGAGTCGGGAGTAGTTGGAGTTGGAGCTCATGTTCAGGTTCCTCACCCGGCTGCTGCCTCAAGGGTCGGTGGCACTCGGTGGCCCAAAGCAATGGATAAGCTCATGAATACAAGAAACATACGACACACCGTAACTCTAAGAGTAATCAGAGCAGATTCGGAGGTGCTGTGGTCGTACCGGCCGTGGTGCAGAAGCAGCAAGAAGAGGAAGAAATCGACGCACATGCATGCAACTGTTAAGATTAACCATCAGAGTGAGTAGCTGAGTAGCTCTGAGCGCAGTAACGCCGACGTGGCATCCCGAGTCTCAGGAACCGGATCTTCTAACACAGACCACAACATTGGTCGGGACGGGACCAGGTAAAGAGAAGTCCAAGAGTAGTTAGGCCCTTAGGAGCCAGGCAGAGAGCTTCCCGGGAGGCGGACGAATTCTCGCCAGCTTCTTAGGCTCGATCTTCAGGGCGAAGATGCGGTCCTGCTTGCTGGTGGCTTCGTTTGGTGGGCTGAAGTTTGAAGTCATCTCAACAGTTTACCTGAAGAGCTTCCATCGGAGAGTGGAAAAGAATATCTCCCTAGTGAGCGCCTTGCTGCCTCATGTCCTACATGAAATCGCGAAAGATCACCTGCCCAGCTTCCCGTCGCATTCTGGCCTGTGGGAACGACCACAGCTGCTCGGGAATGGTCTCGTCGGGGATCAAAGGATAGTTCGCAACCTCTCTAGCATGCCGAGCTCGTGGGCGAGGCTAGACAGCTGCCCAAACCCATCATCGGGCCTTGTAGCCTCTTTGGGCCATGAAGAATGCCAAAGGAGTCTTGCCTTGTGGCCGAGGAGCCAAAGTAGGCAGAAGCAAAACACGAAGGACGCTCGGCCTGGACTACTTGGAACTGTGGTGCCCAGAGTACCTATAAGCCCTACTATAAGAACCGTATTAGCTAGAATCACGCTAGAGTCTGGAGTTTTGGGGTATACTATAGCTCAGGGTGATGAGTTCGGGATAGTTTTGCTGGTAAACCCGAACTCCTATGACAGCCGCCGACCCGGGTGGTGCAACTGAGCAGATCTACAAGTACAGGGTTTCAGGGTTTGGTGAAGCAGGTCTACTTAAGGCCTCCCACTGCCTGAGGAACCACCTGAGCATCATGCCTTTCTTAGGGCTCCATACTAGGATGCTATACTGTTTGTAACCCCAATTGGAGAAGGAGCCCATGGAACTTGATCCTGCACTCAGCCGCAATCGAAAGTCAGCAGCATCTCTCTTCGAACCCTGGCTGGAAACGATTTTGGTTCCAAATCAACTTAAACTTTCTAGTGATTCTAGTGACTACGGCCGCTCATCCTCTAAGTCAGCCGCCACTTCTTGACGGCCCAATGATCATGAGGTCGGCCTGCAAACAGGTCTGACGAGCTTTGGGCTTTCGGTCTATGGGTCTCCTCGAAACAAGTTCGTACTATACTGCATTATAGTGTAGTATAGTATTAGTATAGTATCCGTATATAGTATAGTATAGTATAGCATAGCATGGCATAGCAAGTAAGGGAGTGTTATGTTCCACAATGGAGCAGAGGGCTCTGGACTTTACGCCTCCGCCCAGCGATGTGGCTGCACGCCGTCATCGAAGAGTCGCGTGTACTCAATGCACTCAATCATCCGCATGTAGCTCCTCGGACGGAGGCAAAGCTGATAGTGGGAACCCCCCGTGCATGTCTGGATAAGAGGAGCTGGCGAATCTGCAAATTGACGTCTGCCTGCAAATCGGTGCTGTCGCTGCTCTCTGCTTGATGCAAAGTGTGACCCATTGCGACCCGGGTTCCCCACCTGGAATGCCAAGTCGGCTGGCATCGAAGTAGCCTCCGGACTTTGTGTGTCGAAGAGGAGCCAACCGAGCTGACGAGCTGACAGCTCCCCTGGCCTTCAAGCTTCTCCAAAAGAGGACTCCACAAGTCGTGGCATTCAACGTCTTGCCTCGGGAAGCAAGCATTTCACCATCCTTGAAGCTTGCTTCCCTTCTCGCACTTGTATTGCTGCACTTGGCCGGGAGCTCTTGGCAATACTGCCGCAGGTGCGCGTTCGCGACAGGGTCGACCTGCAGGAAGGGGTGCAAATACTTCGTCGCTAAACGTAGACTGGACACTACAAACTGGACACTACAAAACCATCCCTCTGTCGATCATGAAAACAACCAATTCCAATAATGCTGGGCTGATGGCCAAGGTGTACACGACGAAGGCGTTCCGGTCCTTGGCCCGGCGAGCAATGTCCTGCGAGGGCCGGGGCCAGTGGCGGCCAGTGGCTTTGCGATCTGGCTTTTGTCCGTGCCCGTGCACGCGTGCTGAAATTAGGAGTACATCGGACGTGCTTGAAGGATTGATGGAAAGGCACACCTCCATCATGCCCGCCGTCGCAAAGCGGAAAGTCGTGACGTCCGCTGGACCTGCCAGATCTCATCGTCTGGATTCGGCTCGTGAAGGGCTTCGTGACAGGCAACAGTCCAAGCCCAAAAAAATCTGGGATCTCGGCAGTCGCGCTCGAAACAATGTCCGAACCTCAGCATGGGTTAGCCCTCAGAACACAAAACCCAGGGTGCGACGTGTAGCAACAGTAACAAACGCAGAGCAACACAACACGCAGTTGCAGCCATCCGAAGGCAGGCAAGATGTCTATGCGTACTACAGAAATCCTGCAAAAACCGTCGGCAACAGCAGAACATTGAAGCACAACTTGCGCATCGTAATTCTCGAACCAGAAAGGCCAGGATGCCCATGGCGGCCCACGACCGTGTCGGTGACGGTCACGCTTAGGATGCTTCGACTCTTGTGCCTCTACCAATTCCTAAACCCGACAATCTCCAGACCCTGAAACCCAAACCTTACCCTACACCCTAAACCCCAAACCCCAAGCCCTAAACCCTAAGCCCTAGACCCTAAGCCCCTCAAAAGGAGAGGCCAGGGCTGGCCGAGAGCACAGAGCACCGTCCTCTCGGCGGACTCACCGGTGCAGTCAGACCTGAGCCGATCTTTCATCAGGTTTTCAAAGGGGCCGAGGGACCCCAAACAGATCTGTCATGTGTTTACCAGGATGATACGGTCTTTGATACATCGCTTTGCTGATTTTCATGCAGTTTTTGCTTCAGCTTGGAGTGTTCGAGCTGCTGAATCAGCGGAGGGCACGCTGCGGTGTTTTCCGCGGGGAGGGAAGACTGTCTTGGAGGACGATTCGATAGCATGAAGGACGTACGGGGCCACCCAGGTAGAGAAGGCAAGCATTGAAACACATCGAGCTGCGCATGACGGCCGCTCCACTGACACAACCTCAGACATGAACATCTGTGGCCGCCACACCACAAAGATTGGCTTTGCCTCAGACCATGCTTGTTGCAAAAGCAGATGCTTCTGGCGTGCAGCACATCTTCAGCCAAGCCACTTTGGTTGAGCAAAAGTCGCCGTCCCCTTCGTCATCGTCCTCAAGCATAGCTGTGCAGCTTGCACTGCTATCACTAGAGCTGTGATGCCTTGCATCCTTATCATCCATGCTGACTGTGTCGGTCATCGCACATAAACCATGCAAGCCCCAAGCACTGTCAAATGTATGCAGCTACACGCGTCTCAACGCTTGTCAGAATAACATGCCCTTCAAGACTCAAAGACAGGTAATCTTGAAACCATAGCAGATGTGTAGCCGCACAACAAATCAATAATGCCCCGCTACATAATAGAGCGTTATCTGTTTCGGGTCCAGCCTCATCATCAAGATCGTCCAAGTCCAGTGACATAGCTGTGGCAGGGGAGGAGCCGAAGCGAACACGGCCCGTGGAACCTCACCGGGGGCTGTCAGAGATCTCTGGGAGCAGGGCCCCTGCTTGGGGTCTCTGTGGGCGAACCAGACCCCGTCTGAGGAAACGATGTCTGTGGACTCTGCGACCCCGGCATAAAAAGTACGCTCTTCTGATCGAAGAAGAGTATCCAGGTTTCAGAACACAATTGATGCAAGTTTGATTGGCCCTTCCACATATTCGGATGGTTCTTGTGAGCCGGCATGAAAGGATGCCATGGTTCCATGAGACACGCTCTCTTGCAGAGCAAACGAGGCCCATGCCATCCACGACTTCCGTGCACACAAGCTGCTCCTCCTGGTGAACATGGTCAAAATCCCTAGTCTAGTGAGCATCAGAACAGAGGCCACAACCCCAACTGAAAGTGGAACTGTAAGGGAGTGTCCTGAAAGCAGGAATGCAGCTCCTTCACCGCCTGCATGGCGAGGCTCGGCTGCTTAAGCCTACTTTCTACATCAGCTAAGCTTCCGCTGAACTTGAACTACATCTAGGCGATGCCTTTACTCACCCTGTTGAGCTCCGTCTCCGTCTAGCTTGCCACATGCTGTTCGTCGGTGCTTCACCTGACTCAATGACATCGTGGCTGCTCGGGCCGCCTCTTCGGAGAAGGACCGCATCATCGCCACAGTTAGCTCAACCTCGCAAACCAGAAGTTTGGCATAATCGCTTGCAGCAGCTTCCTGCGAGTGATACGCCCAAACGCCAAAACCTGAAACTTGTCACCTCACTCCAAAATTGTGAACCTCGTCTTTCGTCGCGTTCTCACTCGGTCGCTCACGGCATTGTTGTGTGCCGCTGCGACGCATCGGGTCCAAAAGTCTTCCAACTCCGGCACTTCGTGGCCTCAGCCAAGTTCTGTTTTTTCAACAGTGTGCCATGGGACATCCCAGCGCTCTCCCGGTGGTCTGCTAGCTCCAATCCTTAACCTGCGATCCGTGCGTTCGGAACGAGATGCCCTTTCCGAGGATCGGAAGATTTGCTTTTCGGTGTTTCGGTGCTCAACTAAACCCGTAACCAGACATTGCCCGAAACATCGCTTCTTGCCCTTCCGCTGCACACTGCAGCAAGAAGCTTCGGTGAAGCCAAGCTTGTAGACAGCCCGTCGAGAATCTATAAGCCTGTTTCATGCTAGGAAGCGTAGCAGGTCCTGTGAGATCTAATATTTAAAAGACCCTTCAGGACCAACTTCGACTGGCCTGCAGCTTTCGCGAGGTAGTCGCACCTTTCCTGCCGAGGCACACCCGGACGGGAATACGGGAGCCCCAGGCTTCCGTCAGTTGATTCAGGAATATTCAGGCTGTGGTGAGGTTGTGCTGGCTTTGTCTGGCAAGGCCGCACTGCAACTACGACAGGCTTGCCAGTGTGTGGAGTTCAGCAGTCCTCTCGGGCCCTCACAACTCATTCAGTTAGGCTTCGAAATTGACCGATAGGGGAAACTAAGCATGGTCCCACACCCGAACCTAGTTTATGATGCTTTCGAGGCAAATCGAAATAACAAAGCTACATGATGTTGAGACTTGCTGCGCTAGAATTACTGCAATCTGCTCCCCGTGACGTGCTTGACGCCTTGACCGCCGTGTTATTAGTACGGCCACTGCAACGACAGCAAGTGGTGGTGCGGTGAATCGCTGTGGATTCGATGCTAACACTTCTGCACCGGCATGGGGTTAAGCTACTCAAGGCCTGCACTAAAGGCATGCTACATGCTAATGCCGCCAAGCGCGCCTGCATTCTAAGAAGGGCCACGACTTCTGTGGCCAGGAAGCTGAGCAACTGAGGCTCCAGAAAAGCCTGCTTTGACCGGTAACCGATGTCAGTGAAGCTGAAAAGCCTTCAAAGATGGCATGCAGCACCTCATGGTGTTGCGGCAGGAGGCAGTTCCGACGGAGACGAAGCTCCTGCTGCAGTGAATTTGCGGCTTGGGCTCAGCAGGGACAGTATACAAGTGTCTGGCAGAGACGAATCTGGCACGACACTCCCGCGAAGCGATGGGAAGCTTCATGCGTTTCATGAGGCATCGCTCCGAGTAGTAGTACTTGGGGGTGAAGATGAAGTCTTCTTCGCTCCTGCAGGTTGTGTTGCAAGCTGCATCTCGGTGTTTTCTCGACTCTTGAAGGCTCGTACGAGAAGCAACGATCCATACATGCCTGCCATGAACTGGTCCTCCCAAGAATTGCCTTTGCTTTCTCGATGCCTTCCTGCAGGAGTCACTGGGCTTCGCAACGCATCACTTACAGAAACTAGCCCTGTCTCACAACTGCACAAAAACCAGACATGACAAAGTGGAAAGGTCGAATTGTCGGCAAAGTGCACGTGCGGAAACACGAGCGATGAGGCACTGCCCATGCTTGCTTGCAGTGGTCTGAAAAGCAGGAGCGGCGGCACTTGCACTGTACTCATGGCCTTGCACTGCTCTGCCAAGGATTGGAAGAGCTCTTGGAGCCTTGCTGCCTGCGCAGCATGATGTCCATGCAGCGTCTTGCCAGAGTCCGGCACGGTACGAATGGTGTTTGGGACAAGCTTTGGCTGAGGCTGAGGGCATCGAGCTTTGGGATTGGCACTAGCAGCTAACAGTGATCACAAAGCAATGCCTCGGGGAGCCCTGGCGGCAGCTGCTGCTGGACCTGGCCAATTCAGCAGCCAATGAGACAATCATCACACAGATGTCTCTGGCATTGAATCAGGATGAACTTCCAACACCAGCATGACTCAGAAAGATCTTAATATTTCGATATCCAAAGTCATCCCCGGCTTTGAACCACAAGCCTCGATCAAACAGCAAGAACACTTTGCTCAAAGCACACCTGCCGATAGGTCTCCTGGAGAAAAAGCAGCGTCTGACAGTGCCGCCGGACGTGTGCCTTATCTCGCACTAGACATCATCTTGGGGCAGCCATTTGTCAATGCTACCGTCGCGCAGCAAGCGAGTACTTCCTTGCCTGGCCAGTCTCTATGTCCGACGAACTAGTAGTTGACTCACATGGGCAGAACCGATAATCTGTAGCGGTTTTTCTGCGAATTCTACTCCATTCAGCTTTGATGGCAGTAATGCTCGCATACATTCATTAGTGAGAAGGTGAAGCTTGATGCTAGGATTATGGCGGAACACGTGTAAAAAAGTGAGGAGTGGACTGTTTGTAAGTTGACTGCTTTGCTTTGTTACGTACTAGGCTTGCTGGGTCCCATAAGCGATTGGACAACCTGCCGCTGCCATTTACCAAAGCACATAAAAGAACAAGTTCATGCGTCCAGGAATCGGTATTGGTGTCGGCCAACCCATAACCATCACCCGCACCCACTCACCCATGCGCATCCCCAGACATCGTCATCACCAGTTCGCCGTCATCGTCATCAGGTCGATCGCCAATGTCCGCATCGCTTCCATTACCATCGCCACCTTGCCATGGTCAATATCATCATCGCCATCTTCGTCATCATCAACATTATTAGCATCAGCATAACGATCTTCATCATACCCATTACCTTCATCATGTATCACCTATCATCATCACCACTGCCGTTGTGACCAGCAGCATCACCATGAAATCTGGTTAAAACATATGAGTGCAGGATAAAGCACTCCACTGTTACGATATGCCACAGCAGCATGATCATGTGCTTCCCACTTGACTATCTCTGGTGAACCAGCCCGCTACTAGTAGCCTCAACAGCGAGGCAGGGCAGCAGCATCCTTTTAGTCCTAAACCGAACTTGCACGTGCTTTACTTGGAGGTTCATGGGTGGTTATAAGTGGGGTCATAAGTAGGGTAATCATACTTATAACCCACATAAGAGGACTTTTAACCCCACTTATGACTACCCATGAACCTTCAAGTATATGCTTGAGCTTCCGGCCAGGCTGTCAACCCCTTCTGCCCAGGCAGCTGGCGTAACCTCGAGTTGCCAGAGCGCTGCCAGTGTCGGGACCACTTACGGTTTTGAGGGGTCCACCCCATTGTAATTATGAAGGCCCCTGTACTATAGTATCCTTAGCCCGTATAGGCCGAATCCGGAATCGATTTCCGAGCACCCGAACACTCACGAACACTGTGATGCGAGTAGTTGTCGTCCCCGCCTTCATGCTTGTTTTTAGTCTCTCAAGCTCTTCCGCCGCCGCCAGCTTCAACGTAACCACGGACCTTAAGCTCGGACATCTTCTCATTGTCACTCTGGGCTTCGTCTGAGAGACTGCATCTTCAGATTCTGGATTTAGGGATTGCCCTTTTGACACAGCATTTACGCTGGTGGAAGCTAGCCTGCGATTGGGGTGTGGACCCAAACTGGGAACCCTCGACGGTTGGTTTCAAGTCTCCCCACGTTCGGGGCAGCTCTGCCTCAACCTCAAGGCATGCAACATCCAAATTTCCTAAGGGCACTTGAAGAGCCGGTCTTTAGGCCGCCCCACGGTGCGGTGGCTGTGGTGATCGCCCGGCCTCGAGCACGGCAAAGTTCTCGACATACTCACGTCACAGTCATCAACCGTAATGGAAGTCGTGGTGGTTGCAGTCGCAATCAACACTTTCCAGTGTGTCGTCGTCCTTGAACGACTAGTAACATTGTGTATCGTTGGGATGCCACTAGTCGCGCAGCTTGCAACATGCATCAACACGCTTTTCCTGCTCGATTAATTAGCTATCATCCTCGTGATGCAAACTTGGTGGGAAAGGCAGGTGTTCATACTTCCTACGACTACGTGCCTGCCGCAGGACCTCACAAACGTCATTTCGTCACGAAGGCCGTTGCCACGGACTTGTAAAACAGATGCCCGACCTCCTGAAGCCGCCTCAACTCCTAACGACTGCAAGCATACAAGCGGATGCGCTGCATGATTTGGGCACGGTAAAGGGTTCTCGGGTTTACGAACACCCCGTGCAATCCACTGAGGCCAGTGCTTCGCACTCTTCCGAAGTGTAGCTCACTGAGCCTCTGTTCGACCGGAGGTTCGTGGAGCCCTGCGCCCCTTCGGCTAAGCTTCTTCAAGGTGACAGGTCTTGAACCCCAAGTCAATGTTGAGAAGCAACGAAAAGAAAAGCACAGTCTTCGGACTTCTCGCAACGTCGAATTTCGAGGCCGATCCTAGGAGAAAGCAACCGCTGCGGCTTCTCTGCTCTGGGAATCGGGCCGTCGCCGCTGCTCCAGTATTAGGAGCGCAGGGAAAAGAAGAATGCGCTGCCTGTGGAGTGTCTAAGGCCAAGCGCTATAATTACACTTTCCACCACTCGTGTGTCCGATGTCGGAGCACTAAGACACTGTATGATCCTACCGGAAAGGTGCACCATTCCGCGGCATCATGGAAACCCAAACTATCTCGTGGCAGCCGAGGGCGAAAGGCCTTCCACCGGAATCGTTGCCACAGCCCTGGACATTCACTGATGTTTGGAGGGGTGTGCAGATCAACTGGGAGAGTTCAGGGTAGATCTCCTGGGTCGGGGGTCTCTGTCTCACGTGACATACGCGCAACTTGGGAGTTTCAGTAGAGGGCCAAAGGTCCCGAGTCAGCGGCTGAGGATACAGAGCTTGGCGACGGAAGGCTGCTCCTGGCGAAAAGGCCTAAAACTGCGGGTCCTAGTTTGGGGGGTCCTTTTTGAAAGGTTTCGGCAGCTCCAAGCTCATAGCACAAGCTTCACAAGAACGAACGAGAGGTCCGCGCCTCCCAAGCCGCACAGGCCATGTTCCTTGAGCTTTGGAAGCCTCTGTTCCTGGAACATTGGCTGCTGCTCTGCGCTGGAAGCTCCCAATCTTTTTTAGCAAAAACTGGGGAGCAGGCGCTGACTCAGAGGCACAGCTGCTTGAAGCATGGATGACACACGCCGTGCTCTGCTTGCGCTTCTTGTTTGTCGAGATGCAGCTGCTTTTTCTCCATGTCAGGAGAGGTGGGAACTGCGAGAGCTCTGTTACTGCGTGCTTGTATCGTGTTCGCCTTTCATGCACCAAACCGGCAGAGCTTGCCGTCGGGGGTTGATGCTGCATGTTCGGTTTGCCCTAGGTTTGCCCATCCTTGTGTAAGGCACGTAAACGAGCCGCAACAGTAGTTCTGAAAGTAGCAGCATGCAGCGCCATGATAACCTTGCAGTTGCTACTACTAGGCTGCCACAAGGCTCCCTTCATGTTGCTGAAGTACCGGTAGCAAAGGACCCCAGGGCACGGATTTGGAGGCGCTCGCTGGAGTGCTTCGGTGGTTTACGCTCCTGTTGCTCCCTGTTCGCTTATACATAGCGTGACACACTCGCCAGCGCGAAACACGTTGCTTTTGTATCCATTCAATCGGCAGACAGGCCCGCGCAGAGCCCGAAGCAGTTTCTCTCTGGTCTGCCGGGAAGTATAAGGCACTGCCACGACTCCATACTCGCAGAGAGAGCTCTACCCCTTTCGCCGCTTACCGTGCGCAGCCACCCGACCCGAAGAGGGCGTCTGCAGACGTGTAGAAACGCCCGGGTCGATAGTCCGCGTAGCCCTCCGGTCGATTGTTGGAGCAGGCGAAGGGGTTAGAGTCTGCAGGAGGATTGGGCTGATCGGCAACTGTCTTGAACTGGCCATACAACTTGATGGAGATGTCACGGTTGTAATGCTCGAAGTGGGTTCTGCCCGGCCCCTTCAGTTTATGCCGGCAGAAGGTTGGCCAATAAATCTGCTCTTCCTTGAACTCGATATATGGCCCATGATCGCCATAGACAATTGCCTCATAGCCACGTGCGATTGGCTCGCCCATACAGTCATAGAGCTCCAAAGAAGAGCTGCCCGTCTCACGAAGACCCCAGTTCGATTCCACTCGCTGCTTGTCCCGGCGTCTGTTTGCAGAATCTGCCGTCGAAGCAGCCCTCGGCTTGTAGTCGACTGAACGATCGCACACAAAACCAAGCTTCGCCCAGGACCACAGCAGGACATCGTCAAACTCCAACTTGGATGCATGAAATTCGATGTCGAAGAAAGTCCCCTTTGTTGTCAGCGCCTTCTCGAGGCTTTCGATCAGATCAGGCGCAAGCACGTGCAGCGGGAGTGCGCCGTTGTCAGACCTGCGGATGTCTCTCACTAGTGATGCTGGCTTTGAGCTGCAAGACACCATCCGCGAAGGAACGGCCTTCACCCACCTGTCATCTGCCGAAATGCTCGCAGCCACTGCCACCGCGGGCATTGTGGAGAGGCTTCGGAGAGCCCTTTGCCATGAGCCGGCTAGGCGGGTCATGTTAGCGATGGATCCTGAATCGTGAACCCCTCTGCACGACACTCTAAAGTTTAGTGCTGAAAACCCCAAGTAGCTTATGATGGCGTGGAAATCTCGCGCCACCTTCTGATTTGCATCAGCCCGTCTGAAAGCGCAACACAACGGCTTCACCGGTCATTGGGTACAACATGCCTGGACCGGACGGAGGACGGAGCCTCAGGGCTGCACCAGAGTTTCTAAATTTTTGTCCGCTGCTTCTTCGCCTCAGACACTTGCCTTATGCAAGGAGTTGCTAAGAACAGTAGCTTGCCTGCGGAATGCAAGCTGGCCGTTGCCCACATCTTGAGCCTACAATTCATTTAAATGTCGACCATGAATTTTCATGATCCGGAAAACCACACGTGCACATCAATCCGATGGGTCAGCAAAAGACGTCCAGCGGCGGGCGCATGGAGAAGTCACGCCTTCAAAGTCCTGGGAGTCAAGGCTCGCGGCTGCAGCTAAAAAAAACACGAAGGCTGGAAGTGATTTGATCGGAGGGAGAATCCGATACTCCACGACGCATTTTGGCTTGGCAGCCAGGGAGGGCTGATTGCGTTCAGAGGCTGCTTGCTCGGTGGTCTGCTTAGAAGGTGTAAGAATTTCAGCTAGGCATCTTGCACCCGTGCCGAGGACCATATTGTGTTTCGAAGCGTGCCAGCGCCCAAAGAGGGAACACATTCCGGAATGCAGTGTACCTGAACGCGAAGCGCAAAGGTTTGGGGCTCAGGACAGCCTAAAATATCCTAAACATATGAACAAGTACAGGCCAAGAGCGTGATGCCAATGGATCTGTTGAACCTTGCCGGAACAGTTTACGAAACTCCCTTCTCGCAGGCAGTGGCTGTACTTCGCATCAACTGAGGCGAGGGCACTCCGGCGATGTTCTCTTGAGCCCAGTCGCCCGAAGCCAGCTGGCGCTTGAGGAGTAACGCCACTCCACGCTGAATGGCCTTGGACTCCTGCGCAGTGTGATCGTTAGCTCCCATACCCCCATAACGCACCGAATTGCATGACCAACCTCCCTTCTAATTAGTGATGGACCCAAGCCCCTGAATCCCGTGATAGTCGTCGCCGAACACCCCATACCACAAACCTGTGTGGTCTTCTATTACCGGCTGCTATTGGAGGTTTGACGTGATGCTTCCCTCCGACTGACTGGCATTGGGGCTCCACATGTCTTCCGTGTGACAGTCTATGACGTCGATCCGGCACTGAAGCTGAGCAAGTGTCAAGACTGGTTCTTGCTAGAACGGAAGAAGCAGAGGCCTGGCAGTCTGCCGCCATCAGTGCAAGGAGAGCCCAGGCAGTCTGGACCACAGTGCTGCCAGAATCGCATCCTTAGCGACCGGAGGCTGCAGCAGAAACTCCCGAAAATGCTACAACTATTCCTACCTGAACCTCTTCCCAAATCACGAGCCATACACCACCCCAACCTCAGGTGGCCGGATAGCCAAAAACAAACTGTTGCAGCCCTGAGCTCCATAGAGCTTCTCGCGGGGAGCGTACTCTCGGTTGAAGCAGCTGGCAAAGTCTTCGCCCCAGCCGCCATCCGGGTTCTGCTTCCCTGAGAAAAAGGACAGGAAAAGCTATCTCAACATTTCATAACTCTTATTCCAGAAACTCAGTGGGCCTAAAAGGAACTTCACGCACTTCTGGATCGCTTTGCAGGTCGGCTTGCGCCCGGCGATGAGCAGTCCTGTCCGAACTGACACGTCAGAAAAACATCGATGTCGGGTACAGCTGCAATCGGGAAGGTCTCGGCAAGGCCAAAGAAACTGTAGAAATAGCTGCATTCTCCAGCCAGAAGTGTCGCAAGCACCGATAGGCTGCGGATTTATCAGTTTTCTGTATCAAACGTCCTCTCTGCAGGTGTACATACCTTTTTATACCTGTATATATGTACGTAGGTATGTAGGTATGTATGTATGCATGCAGGCAGGGAGTGAGGGAGGGAGAGCGGGATGTATACACACACATATGTATGCATATATATATATATGTATGTATGTATGTATTCATACTCTATCATATACTGCCGTATACTGCACTGCCTACCTACCTACCTACCTACCTACATGCATCCATGCATATGCACGTGGTACAGTTGGCAATTCTGGCCGGTCACAGAACGTTTGCGAACACTTGAGGCAGTCGGGGTGTTCATTGGCAGCAGATCAAGGTAACCTAAGGCAAGCATTCGCCTCCTGAGGGAGAACCACTTTTCAGGATTCTGCGCCTGGCCTTCGATGCCAAACCAACAGCCGTATGTGAAGCAGTTGCCCCAGCATCCAAACCAGCTGCCGTCATCACGTTGCCTTGCGCCACAGCCGGCGGCATGGAGCTTTTGTAAAGCTTGCCAACCCGAATTCCCAGAAAAAAAATCAACCGAACGGCCCCTCCCTGCACTGCAAGCTGACCCCAACCTGCAAAATTCTGTTGGGATCTGCATTTTGACCTGTTGCATTTCTTCAATGAAACGAGCACCACGCGCGATGGAGCGCCGGATCTCACCCGCCCGGTGATCCGGAAATTGCTCGGAGAAGTATGCGAGTGCCTGATGGAGGCTGGGGGCTGAAGTGAGAGGGACTGCTGGCTCCAAACTGTGTCCCTAAACCCCTTGTCAGCCTGCATGGCGGAAGAGCTGCACTCCACATAAGAGTAGTCAATCATGATGTCCCCAAACACCTGCATGGAGAGGGCAAAGTAGAAGGCTGGTCAGGAACGTTACAGTAACGGCTGGGATTCAAAGTTACAATCTCAGCATGGAAGCGATCTTTTCCTTGCTCTGGAGCAAACAGCGAAGCTCAAAAGTCAAGCGGGGTCTTTAGGGTCCGGAGCCCAGCAGGAATGAAACTGCCCTTCCGAACTCCCGGCGTTGCCGGAGGCTTGAATGCCGGGCACTTGTTTCTTGACAGATCATGCAACCTTGTCTTGCTATGACACACTTTGGCAAACCCAAAAACACGGAACTCTTTACCCTGTGGTTGAAGGCACGCTTAAGAACACGATCGCAGAACCCTTTTCTAACACTTCAGCCCTGCTTAGCCCATGTGTAGATCCCCTTGGTTGAGCACTTGTGAAACCGATTTCTAGAACTTGTGCAGAACCACCTCTAAACATTCTAGAGACAGTCGCATGATGAAGCCGAGGAGATGGGCCTCCGATGGATTGAGAAGTTCGTACCACTTCCAGCCCCGATTGTTCTCGTAGGTCGCCCAGCCGCCATCGTTGTTCCTTGGCCGGTCTTGGGGGTTCAGATATTCGGATTGGGCTCCAAACCCTAATCCCAACACTCTAAAGCCCAGCCTAAACCGCTACACCCTAAACCTTTCAGGGCTTCAGGGATGACACCCTTCTGTAATCATACTTAAGACTTAAGTCACTTAAACGGACCCTAAGGAGCAACTATTACTGTTACTCATGGTTTAGCCCACACTCCTTAGTTCTCAATGTCCGAAGGTCTGGTAGGAGAGCAGAAATCGAACGCTGTCGCACAGATGTTCGTCAGGCATGACCCGGCCTCGATGGATTGGGGTTTAGGGGTTTTGAGTTGTAGGAGCTTTGGGGTTTGAGGGCGTAGGGGTTGAGGCTTCAGGGTTCTTCCCACTTTGTCCACCATTGCGAGTTTCGAGGATCGTTTCTATGTGTCTACCTTCCGTTTCACAAGCGAATCTAAGTGTTCAACCCCCGCTCGGTCAAGTCTGCTGCCGACGAAGCGTCTGCTTGGCCACGTAATGCGAAGCCCCAAACCCCAAATCCTCAGCACCGAAGACTCCCAAACCCTGCAGCAAAATGACAACCCGAAGCCCTCAACACGTGATGCGCAGCAGGGCACCGGCAGATCTGATGCTTGGAGCTTTTCGCAGGAGCAAGACCGCTTTGAAGGCCTCTGCTGTGGTGTCCTTACAGGAACAGGCCATCACTTAACTGGATCTCACGACCTGCACTTCCTTCTGCAGCGCAGAACATAGCACAGGGCTCCCAAGCGCGGCAACAATTCTGGCAGCTACTTGTAGCTACGTCCCAGAACCCACCGAAGACTTCCCGAGACTTTCGAGCCCCACCCCAGTGTAACTAGCCTTATGCCTTAACTACTATCAGCACAAGACTTCTGCATGTCTGGCTTTATCTTGACGCGTAGAATCTCAATTCCCTCCAGCCCGAGCCCTCTTGCCAAGTCGCAGAGACCGGCCAGGCTTGTTCAGCGGTGCCTTGCACCCACTGCGATGGTTTCAGATTTCATGATAACGGCTTGTCATTTCCTGTCCATACTGCCAGACTTTTCCACAAGCCAGCACTCGGACAAAGGCGTGGTCTCTCATATACACCCTGTCGGGATTTTGATGGTGCAGCAGTTGACGATTTGGGAGTCAAGCTTTGCCAGCATGCCTGCGACGTGTCAGAGCACATGCACATCAAAATCAGAGCCAGTGCTTAGAAACCGAGGCACCCCTCTGTGTCATGGACTCTTTCTTACTTTACGTCTTTTGCTTGGTCTTTGGCTGGTGGCTTCAGGGCCCACCAAGGGTTTTTGCAATACATATCGCGTCCGTCTCATCGACATGCACCGTCCCCAACGCCAACCTTTCCATGGTCCCACACATCCGACAACAACAACAACACAGGGAGTTTCAGAAAACAAAGGGCCCACAAAATGAACCCTGAAGTCGTAGGCATACCAAGAGCACCAGCACTTGAGGCGCGGACTGAAGCCCCAGCCGCCCTGAATCGGCTGCCGAAAGTGGCGCCAGTCCCCGTGAGGCAGGCTCCTCACCTGTCGGGTCGGGTAGGTTTGCGGCTGCACAATACCTAAAGTCAATCCCTAAACCCTAAACCCTAAGGACCTAAAGTCTAAAGTCAATCCTGTTGTTGCACTGTGCAGAATGTCAATCTGAGGACTTGATCCGGCAACTTTCAGGCACTGTACT